GTGGCGCGTCGTAGCTGGGCTCCCCCTTGCTTGGACAGTCAGAGCTAAGGCTGGATCATCAATCGGGGTTCTCTGGCACGGAGCACATTCCAGGTGGACCGGCCGGAATTCCCGAAGAGATTACTGGATAAAGTAGAGGAATCCAACGCAGCTGACTCTCCTAAAGGTGTTTCACCTGAGGAGGGGAATGCTGAAGCGAAGGATCGCGTGACATCTGCTCCGCTTAGTCCGTCTAGGTTGAAAGCGCTTTCTCCAGCACGTGTTGTGGCAGGCGAACGCCATCCACACGGTGAGAAGCGTGGCCGACTGAAAGGAGCTAAGGACAAGGCAGGCAGCAGGGTACGAAGAACAAAGAAACAGTTAGAAGAACTAAGAAAAGTATGGCGCTGTTCGCTAGTGCAGTTGGTGGCATGTGTGAACTCGACGAAGATGAGGAACTAGTCGAATCATGTGTGATTTTGTCCGTTGCTCAAGCACTCAAGTCCCCGATGCCGATAAGTGGCAGGAGGTTACTGAGAAAGAGCATACGAGACTGCTAGCCCTTTGAAACGTGGAAAGCAGCTTCTGACGAGGAGCTTGCGACCGCGTGACAGGCTCTACCAATTGCCATAACTCTAACTATCAAAAGATGTGGAAGATGCAAGGCTTGCGCTTGTGTCCTCGGTAATCTAGATCGATCAGGAGAGCTAAACACCTTTGCTCCCGTAGTTTCACATACCGCAAGTAGGTTGCTCCTGACTTCTGCTACGTCAGAGCAGGACCATGTGATCCCGTTCGATTTAGATTCTGCGGTCCTCAATGCTGAACTCGATCGCGATGTCTTCTGTCATCTCCCATCCATCTGGGCAGAGAAGCATGGACGCGAGATCGTGAAGCCCAAGAAGGCCTTATACGGCTTGAAGGACGCACCACGAGCATGGTTCAAGAAATATCACGACATACTAGCCACGCTTGGCTGGGAGCCGTGTGATTCTGCGCCAGGCTTATGGAGAAAGCCGAGTGCGAAAGTACCAGAGAAGTTCCTCAAGATGTCACCGAGGACTTCTTAGGTGCCGTCGTGTACTACTGTCGTGAAGCTCGAACATTTCGGCTCAACATGGAAGAGTACACTGATAGAATCGCAAAGAGATTTGAAATCCAAGTCGGGAATCCGGTTTACTCGCCCTATTTTGACGAGTCGACTTTTCTTGAGGAGGGGATCAAGATAGTCGATGGGTATCCTTATCGTGAGGTAGTTGGTGCCTTGCTATGGGTAGCTGTAACCGCGCGCCCGGACATCTCTGTACCGGTGGCAGGCGTTGGTTAGACATGACAGCAAACCTACGTCAACAAGAATGGTTAAAGCAGCCAGAAAAGTGCTGAAGTATCTGGTGACAAAAAGAACAAGGACTGGAATACTCACCAGAACAAGAAGAAGAATTCAATAGAATCTATTTCAAAGTTATTACCTGAAGGCAGAGATAGGCCAGAGGTGAATATCTTTAGTGATGCAGTATTCGCCAACTGCGTGAAAACTATGAGAACGCAAGTAAAAGATCATGTATTTAATTTCAAAAGGCGTTCCAATCGCTTGAAGAAGTAACCGACAAACTGTCCGTGCCTATTCTACGGCTGAAAATGAATACACTGCAGTTTCTGACACAGTTGTGCTTAGTGAGCTGCATGACTTTGCAGACTTCTATAGGCCTCTACCAACTCAGTTGGTGCACACACAGAACGGCTTGTCTCCCTCTTTAGACAATGCTGTGCTCTGGATCGGCAACCAATCCGAGATCACAACAGCTAAAGCAACTGACACATGCCTGAAGAGTCGCCATTATGCACTTCGCTACTTGCGTGTGCGTGATGCGGCCAGTAAGATAGTTTTCTGTCCAACTAACTAACTAAATGAAGGCTCATGGCTTAACTAAGTTAGAACGTAGCTCGTTTCAACGTAGACTACTATTTCGCCATATAGATAACCCGATAAACAAAGTCAACTATGAAGATTTAACTTACAAAAGAGCGTAGCCATTTCGCCTAGTGGTCAAGTGTCTCGGTTCAGTTTCTCCGGATCTGAATGACGCAGGGTTCGAATCCGACAGAGGTCAGAATTCGAAAACGCCCGTCACTAGGAGGGCTGAGGAACGGCATCCATGCTGCGAAGCCGCCGGGCAAGGCCTGGATGTGAGGTAAGACACGGTGACCCAGAGGAAGGGCCCGGCCCGTCCTGTGCTCGCCTCGGAGAAGTGGCCAACTAGTTCAATACTGGTTTACTTTGGTTTCTAGGTAAGCTTGCCGTAGTTATAGATGAATAGTTAGGAGATATGACTTCCGTTGTAGTCCAGAGACTAGGGACTTCGACACGCAACGATTGAGGAGGGGTGTTGGTCATGGTCGTAAATCCTTGAAACTATCACAAAGATCCACCAAGATCAGAAGGATGAAGATCATCAAAATGACCAAGATCGCCAGGCAAAAGGTTACCGGAGCACTATCCAAACGCCCGACGGGTTTACCGTCGCGCGGGTGTCTCTGGCTTCTCCTCTCTCTCTCGTTTGTCGTTTCAAGTCTCTCAACACAGTCAAGGACAAAGCAACACAGGAAAGATCTCAAAGATAACCTACAGACCTAAATGCGTATGGTTCCAAAGTCAATGATCAACAGGCAAAGGACCTTCAACGTATTCAGATAGCAGAAATAACGAATGTTCATAGCTGTAATCAGGTTCGTAACGTTTTGTCAGTTCTGATCAGTTCAAAGAGCATATGGGTGATCGTGTGAATCAATGATGATAGCATAGGAGTTCCCATATGAAGCATATGAAAGTCTCCCTATGCAACATGATGTCCCAATGAAGAAGCTGAGACTTCCTTCCCTTTCAACCCCGATGAACATCCACAGGGATCAAAGCAGCCAGAGATCATTTGTCTCAGGCTGTTAGTGCAATCTGTATCAAACTCAAGCGTTTCTCAATGAGAAACTAGACGCGACTTGACAGTCTGTGTTCGAATGTTCCAACAACTTTACATATGGGCTCATTATATGATGTTGACTCTACCTCTAGAATGTCTGTAACTACACACAAAATGTCGTCGCACAGCTCAGAGCTTTGCAATCTCCTCCAATTTTGGGAAAGAATCTTCAAAACTCTAGGGCTAGAGCATGCTATAGTAATTACTTCCTGTAGTGTTCATCTACAACAATTACAACTAGGCCATGTGCTAAGCCTAGTATATTCAAGAAAACTCGCCTACATCCCAAGAAAACTCTCTTCAAGTGTCTGTGGGGGCTCATTGTGCAGGGTCCATAAACTAGCCGAACTCAACCTACATCACATTCTTCTACGATGATCGTCCCAGGTGGCACGAACAAGATGTCCTCAATACTTTCTCTAATAAAAAAATATCATATCCCGCCAGGCACGAAGTCAATGTCCACATCTGTACCTGCTTCGGAGCTTCTGATACCCTGGGAAATCGAACTCGGAAACACCGCGTCTACGGTATTTGAGCGAGGATGCGGTGGTGATGACATTCGAGAGATACTAGTGAAGGAAGCGGGTTTGTACCTTATAACTACTGTTATGATCAGCATTTATCTGTATCTTTCTCGGCATCTTCTTGGTGCCCTTGTTTTCCCTTTATTATTTTCATGAGCAATTACAAGTAGGGCAAGAAAGGGGTCGAGATGAGGGGCCTGAAATGAATACAAGCTGACGCTAATGCTGCGTTTTTCGGAGGACACTCGCCACGATTGCAGGTCTTCCTTAACGATTATGCTCCAGTGATATTGTTCATGCACTAGCTACACTAGAATACCATTCATTGTACTATTCACCAATGATCTACTGAATAAGATGAACTTGTAGATCTTCACCGCTTCAAGCCTTGAGTGCATGTAAACCGGATAATCATGTCCCCTCCTGTTTATTTTCCACTCGGAAACTGAAAATAACTGAAATGAGGGACTTCTCACTGAAATAAGGGACGTAGCTTTTAAAGGGCAGTCTTGTTGCGTCCTTTAGTATCTCGGTTACTCTCGTCTGTTACTTGCGTATTTCCGTTTATCGTCTGTTACTTGCTTATCTCATCGCACAAGAAGAGCCACGTCCTCTTCTAATCGCAAAGAGCTCAGCTGGAGCGCCATTTAGACTGCGAGGAGGCGCAGGAAGCAACGGGCGTTTCCATCTCTGAATACTTCGTCATTGAAGCTCAAGGAAAAATTGGGGTCCGTTTTAGCTGTCACCTAAGTTATGACGAGGACAAAAAGTAGCTGCACTTTTACTTAGTTCTAGTTGTAAATAGTACAACAAGTAGTAGAATGGTGGAAGAATGACAACAAGGTGAATAGAGCTGTTATATTTGTTACTGGAGTTTTTAGCAAAAGGGCTGTCTTCGTCAAGTAGAACTTCCATGCTTAAATGCTATTGTTGTGATGGAGCAACTACATCCAGCACATAGTGTACTAAGCAGTGCATAGTGTACTAAGCCGTCTGAATCTGAATCTGAATCTAGCTCCTTGCTTCTAACGTAGACCGGAAGACGAATTTCCCCCAGAAGGGTTTCTAGAGTTACAAAAACTCTAGGAAAGGACGCGTAGCAGCCTGGATTCACTTTTGTTGGTTTCGTATGGAATAATGCGACGGTGCTCTGGCGTCAAAGCAAGCGTTGTTGATTTTAGTGCCGGTAAGTTGATCTTTATGCTGATGCGTAGTATGATTCAAGGTGGGGATCGACAAATCTTCACTCTTGTTCGAACTCAAACACGGCGGCGCTTGAACAAGAGCATGATGAGCATGAGCAGCATCACGTGGCTAAGTAGCTCTAAATCCAGAAATCATCACTGTACTTCGTAGACGACGACGAGCCGCTTTCTATACGTAGTTGTTGACAAAGAAGATCGTAGTACTAGTGGACAACTGCTTGATGTGCGCCATTTTGATGGTTTGCTAATAATATTACACAGCAAGAGGAGCTACATTTTCTTGAGACGCACAGACAAAGTCCTGTGCTTGAACGCAATCATTCGTTTTTTCTTATAACGAGCTGACGAGATTATGATTATTTGACGAGCAGAAGATGAAGTAGAACATTGACAATTACTTGCTTCTTGACGAGAGAATGAATAGTTGACGAGGTGGTGACGAGAGACGAGAAGCGTCGACAAAATCGTATTCTTGGATCATGGTGTGTGTAACATCAAGATGCTGTTCTTGTTGTTCTAATAGAGTCGACAAACAAGCTTCTGTCAAATCGCGCCGTTTCTGGAAGAAATCGTTGAGGGCAAATGAATCGTAGTTCGGGATAGATGAGCGACCAGATGAAATGTTGATTGAAGAACATGATCGATGTGATCCACTTGTACTCAACGAACACCATCTTCTTAAGATGAATAATGTCTATTTCATTTGTTATGTTGATTATGACTGAGTATTTTTACTCACTGAAGAGTAAGGTGGAGAAGAAATTATTCACGAAGAAAACGACCTCCCTGACCATCCAAAAAAAGAAAAATAGACACAGCAAGAGCTACTCTTCAGAAGCACTCGACCACCGTCACAAAAAGGTGCAATTATTCTTCTTACAATACGACGCACGTTGTATTTAGCGCTAGGCTTTCGAGGAACCGCCCCGACTCGGAAAAAATACAGCAAGCAACATAAGATAAATAGTCTACAACGACCTGTAGTCCACGACTCCCAATCCAAACAACAAAATGTTGTCCAACATCTTCAAAGTCTGCGCGTTGGCCGCGCTCGTCGATGCTCGCCAGAAGTACTCTCCCCGTCAGACCGCCTTCACTCAGACTGCGGAACAATTCCTCGCGGCTGCTGACGCGGGTACAGAATGCAAAAAAGTCGAAAAGACAGTCTTAGAAAAGGCCTGTGGCAAGGAAGTCGCGGAAAAGCAAAGTGAGGTCAAGGGATCTGTGCCAAAAGATAAGGATGCGACAAAAGACGAAGATGTTAAAGCGGCTTGCTGCGCAGGAAGCTGTGGCAGTTCTTGCCGCTAAGGCGCATTGCTGCGTAGAAGAAGATCCGTCTCTTCTCCATACTTCATTTTGAGGATGAATTCAGGTATTATCTTCATCTACTCCACGATTATTAAGTACAACTTGTAGTACAACAAGATTTACAACTACAAGATGAACATTTCAAGAACATGAAGATGAAGATGATCATGATCCTTTTATTCTCCTTGTTGAATGATGATTCGATATCTTCACACTCTCAAATGACTCCGAGGTGTTTTTGATACGACGCAGTGTAAAAGAGGTGAAGATGGATCGAACTCAATCATGTCGACGAGCAGAGATGCATGCTAAACTGCGAACAGAAGCGCATGCTAAACTCCTGCAGCCAGGTACTGTTTCTTAATACTCGATAACAATGTGGTTAATGTAGTCAAAAATTCTTGTCGTGGACCTCCTAAAAAACGATATTAGGTTTCCTTATTGTATGAAATCACGATCACAAATCCCAATTGATGAATATTACTTACTTCTTCCTAGAAGTCTTTGCCACTTCACACGGATGACAACATTATCATCTTCCAGGTAGTTGTACTGAAGCTTATCTTATGTTTATGCTGACCGTTGCTGGGAGTCGTGGGTCGTTATTTCTAGCAGATCTTGACCTAGTGGACCGAGGACACACACTTATTGTTATTTTCTCGAAGAGAAGCATAAAGTTAAAAGTCTAAGACTTAGATAAAAGAAGAAGTCTAACGCTTAGATCCACTTATTTCGTGCGGTGCCTGGTGTGAAAGAACTACACGAAGAATATGATATAGTTTAATGATTATCCTCTATGTCATCGTCTGGGAAACGTAATGGGCGTAACAAGTATTTGCATAGCATTGCACAGTAGGTTATCGTTGACGTACAGCAAGAACACCATGCATCATCTCTTTTTTTACCTGTCATATCATTAGCAACTGAACAAGAATTAACGATGGTTAGAATTTCTGACGTAATGACGTAGCTAATACTAAAAATTTGCGTCGCATTATAATTCAGTTTACTAGTGCAACTAGATGATCAATTAATCATATAGTCTTATCTTCATAATTATTTTCAATTGCATACACATCCATTCAACGAAAACGAGGAGTACCGAAATCACAAAGCCACTTATGGCATCAATTATATCACACATGATCTGAACCCTTATTCAGATCAACTACATGCTTCCCACAAAAGTCCTTATTCATAAAAAGACAAAAAAACAAGTAGCCCCATATCTCCCAGTTAAGTATATCTATGATTACCTTCAACATATGTCTCCCTTGACAACAATTAGTCGCACATTGTATAAAAACTATGTAGAAGAAGAATTGTAGTTTTCATCAGTAAGGAGGTAGTTGTACTAGTACAGCTCCATTATGTTCATTGCAACTGCATGAGTGCGATCTTTCGTTTGCCCGCATCTGTGGGCTATCCTGGTCAGGGCGAAGATGGATTTAGTAGTATGTAGTTTTCATAAGTAAGGAGGTGGAATTTTTGTAGTAAGTACTAGCTAAGTCCTGGCACAACTACAATTCCATATTTATTGCTCACTACATCAACAAGGACATCATGGGTGCGATCTGTCTGCCCGTATCTGTGGGTTATCCTGGTCAGGGCGAAGATGGATTTGGTAACCGTGGCGACCTTCTCTCTTTTTGACTACAACATTAAGTCTTCTTCTAATATTTACTTCTCACACCTTATAATATTCGTTGTAAGTAGTAGTACAACTAGGTAGCTGTAGAGAAGTACAGCTAGTTGTAGAGAAGTATCTTCCTCCATAGTTTTCTCGACCGGCCGTCTGAGTAGTAGAGCTACTTTTCCTCATTTACCTCTACTACGAGACGTCGACCAGTGCATTGTTGCTAAGAAACCTCAACAGCCTAATGGGAGAATTCTGTTGTATGGACAGTCTTCAGGGATGAAAAGATGCACAACACAAAAACAGTGTACTAGTGTTCTTCGTATTGACCTTGGCTTTGCGTACTTTGGTTCGTCCTCGCAGATGTTGTTGTTGACAATCTTTGAGGATTCTTATCGGTGTTATTTGTTCGACGGAGCATGATGGTCGGGTGTCATCTACTCTCGCTTCGGTAATCCTAATCGTTCACGGACGCGAATCGTGTCGTGGTCAGTAGTTGGAAAATTGTCGAGCGACACACTAGAACCAGAAGAAGCAATGACGCAATAGAGCACAAGAAACTGTGAGAGACGGTGAAAAACACAAGACAATTTATTATATTCGAGACCCCTCGTCGCATCGGTGATCTGTTTCGTTGGTCTTGAGTCAATATCTTGTCGAGGATGGTCTTGATTCGGTGGCTAGCAACTGCTTCCATTTATAATTGCAAAAAGATGAGCTGAAAACGTCGTAGTTGTATCTTGCTACTTGTGTCATCATAGTACCGATAAGATCACGATTGATGTTCTTGTTTCAGAATCATTCTTAACTAAGTAAGAGATGGATGACGTTGAGGCTTTTCTCCCAATCCCAAAAGAATAGGAAGACAAGAATTTCTTTGATCCCCAGTGTCAGAAGAAATACCGGAAACACACAAAAAGATTAGGCATCAGTATGATTACATCGAAGGACTAAGTACAACGGATTTCGGAACGTATAAGGACTACAACAACTACGGAATAGAACGTATAGGTATTTATCATCAAGTTGTAGTAGTATGTCATGTTAAGGATTGATAAATGTGTCATTGTCTTCATAAAAAGATAAAAGTAAAGCTAAGCCCAGTTAATGAAACACAAGTATGTGCATCAGCATCCATGAAGATCATTGACTATTGTTTTACCATTACTTCACTAACAACGTAGCAAGAACTAATAATTTCGCGGTTGTTGTACTAACATAATTTATGATCTGTCATCTTCAAAAACGTAGCCTTGTTAAAACAACGTATTCGGTTCAAGCAATCTACTTCAACATACCTACACCAATTACCATTCTTGTCATAAAAGTATGTCAAAGTAAAAAAGTAGTAAGTAGTGATAGTGTTGTGCAGTTTTATAAAAGTGAAACAAGTATGTTCTTGCATAAGTAAAATTACTAGTACATCAACGATCTATTTCAAATTATTCCAAGAAAAAATGTAAAAAAGTATGATCTCTTCCGCCCCACTGCTTATTGAAATTGATCCCTCATCCGCGTCCGCCTTCATCTAACGAAGAAGATAATTACGTACAAGTTTTTCGAACCTCTTCAGTATTCAAGAAAATTCGTTCCCCTCCATAAAGTAGCAATTGTTGTTGTACTTCCTATACGATCTTGAATACCTTCGAACTCAAGACCAGGAGGAGCAGGAATCGGCGAAGATGGAGTGGCATAACCACGAGCAGGAGCAAGTAGTGCCTCGCTGCAGCACGGAGAAGATAGAAGTGGAAGATGTAGTTGTAGACGAAGGAGGAGATGTAGCTTGTTCTTTGGTGGAAGATGTCGAAGATGTGCCTGTGAATCCTGCACGTAAGAGACATCAACGTAGGACCGTGTCTACCGTCGAGACATCAACGTCTGCAACCGACATTGCATCCTCCACTGAAGATACTTCCTCCATTAAGGCGGAGCAAGAGTAAGATTTTGAATTTCAGATTAGGTTCTTGAAAGCCTTTCCTCGAGTAACCAATAGCGAAGTCGAGGGGGCATCCTATCCCATGAAGTTCTTGATCGAGGAATAGGGTTGTAACGAAGAGATAAACAGATGAGGAGAAGAGTCAACACGATTCTCGATTAAGTTGGTCGCGTCCTCTCCTATGAATATAGGTAAATATCTAATTGCAGCTGCACCTCCACAACGCCGAATGAGGATTTCTCCGCGATCGATGAAGGTGACAAGAAGGTGTCAGAGGCGGAAGACGAGCAAGGGAAAACAACCCTTAAGCAGGAAGATGAGGATCGCACTAGAGATTCCTCAACGTGGTCACGAGACGAAAAAAATGAGGAGGAGCAACGAGATACAGGCGAAAAAAATGAGGAGGAGCAACGAGGTCATGCAATGAACCAAAAGAATCAGGAAGAGGTACGCCAACAACTTCTAAAACGAGTATAACTTCTGTTGATGTCATTGTCCAATTTACAGACAGCTGCTAGTACACGACTTCTAAAGATCAACATTATATATAAGTGGGTAATAAATATCTTTATTTCAAATTCTTTGATTAAAAGATCTTACACCCCACGAGTGGGTACATCTGTCTATCTATCTATCTATCTATCGAAGACTTTTCCATAACACGACTCGAAGTCCTCAAAGAATCTTCAAAAACATACATCCAGGATGATGACGCTCCGGAGGACCTGTGCTGTCCCATCACAATGTTAAGGCCTCAGCTACATCTTGACTCCTAAAAGAAACTCCTCAGCTACATATTGATGGACCCTAAGAAAACAAGACTGAGTATTCCACAACTCCTAGGCTCTTACTTACAAGAACTACTAGTACTAGCTTTCCCCTTCTGTACTCTTCTTTTTATTTACATCATCTACATACCAACTTACAACTACTAGCTTTCTTCTAACCTTCTTTTAACCTAGGACATCTAAGTACCTACTTACAACTAGTCGCCTTCTTCTAAGAAAGGAGCTTTTTCGTGATCCAGTGGTGATCGCCAGTGGGAATACGTATGAAAGGTCAGCCATCGAACGAGTCTTTGGCAGTGGCAACTTCAAGGATCCGTTGACCAATGCGCTTTTACCTTCCGCCCTCATCGTCACGAACTGGGACAAAAGTTAAGCTTAATCCATAGGATCTGTAGAGAGAAGAGATCCGTTTTGAAGGTCGACACCAACAGTATGCTTATCTATGCATCCCAATACAAGGGATATAGTATAAGGCATGAGCATATTCTTACGGGACTCGTACAGCTCTAATAAGGGAAGCAGGTTCAGTTGTACCTGGAGAGTCGTGGGTCCGATTTCGTGCCTAGTGGCTGGGCGTCGCGAGACGTGGGAGCACCCGCACATCCGGGCGTATCTGTGGTTGTGAACGAACGAAGCTATCCTTTGAACATTAAGGCCGCGTGTTCCTACTTTACTCCGTCTTGGTTCAGAAGCATCTTACTTGCTTGGGCACGTTTATTTTCAGAAGGAAACGCTTCCCAAGACGGCCTTCATAATCGATAATTGAGGACACGACCATCACCAGCTCTAATAGCAGCACGAACAATAGTGCCGCTGATCTCTCGTCCACCAGTAACCGAACATCAAACGGGGGTGGACGTGGAAGCGTAGGCGATGTCACAGTGTTTCTGTTGTATACGACTTGCGTTATTTTGTTCGGCGTTTCCCTCCAAAGCCTCTTCTTTATGGCTTCTATACCCGGATGCACCTTCAACAGAAGGTGCACTGATCCATCTTTTAATCAAGGCATCTTACGTACTCAGTACCTTCGAATCGTTTTCCTTCGAATCATTGTAACTATTGGAAGATGTTGCACTATCTGCAGACGTTGTACCTCAAAGGAATAGGGTGTGTACTGTACGCGTACAACAGGATGCTCGTCAACAAGAAGAATCTTAGATTGTTCCATATGTGAGCTCTAATTTTTCGATCACCCTGGTTGTGCGACAGCCTTTTCCCTCAACATCGCGTCAGCAAAGCGACAAAGCGTTTCTAGCGCGGTTTCTAGGGCACGACCAGAATGTTCCTGGGAGCAGCGCGACCTTCTACGACGTCCAGAATGATCATGATGATGGGGTGGACGTGGATAATCTTCAAGAACTTCGCCATGATGCCGGTGAATACAACTTCTACATCGCCGGTCGTCCTCGTCGTGGAGGAAGTAGTAGGAGCACGCATGACGATGACGTCGATATTGTTGATCACAACTACTACCATATCGAGAAAGCAGTGGAAATGATCCTCAGCCTGCAATATGAGCCAAAACAACTAGATAAAACCGCTTCAGGAGCTTCGTCGAAGACCCCTTCTTTATCGGGATCATCTGGCAACGTTGACCAGTTAGTGGAAGACTTGTTGAGTAATCCATCCCATCCGCTGCTAGGACACCCCATTCACAGAGTGATGCACATGTTGCACAATGCGGGAGAAGGCGAAGGCCACACCAAGGAAGTTGAAGGAAGACTACTAGAGGAGAAGGTACACAACTTGAATTTCGCACTGAGCTACCTGATTCAGCTGCCGCAGGATGTTTTCTCAGCCTTTCTATTCGGTACCGAAAGCAATGCGCAGCAAGCCTGCAGCCGAGAGCAGGAGCGGGACGATGGGGCACTAGAACTAGTCGAAGGAGCTTCATCGTCTTCGTGGGAGGAGAAGGATCATGCTGGAGTGAGTGGAGAAAATGATGTTGCAGGACGAGAAAATGATGTTCACGAGACAAAGCAGCTAGTAGGAGGAGCGTCAAGAACGAGGAGAACTTCGTTGTTGTCGAAGACGAGTTCTTCGAAGATAACATTCTCTGGAAGAGCAGGACCAGCAAATATTACCAGTGGCAACTTCACATCTAAATCACTGTCTTCAACTATTGGGCACAGGAGCAGCAGAGTTAATGATGCAACTCCGATCAGTGCAGCAGTTCAGGAGCCCTCCTCTCGCCCATTTGAGCAGTCACTCTCGCCGTTTGAGCAGTCGCTCGCTGATAGTGGGGAGTTGTATTTCTCTATCCCTATTTCGCACATGGCACGAGCCTTCTTCATGATTATGGCGCAAATTTTGAAAGTAAAATCGAGATCCGACGCCTTAATTACACTAGTAGATGTTGATAAAAATCTACTTCTAGTTCTACTAGATGAAGAAGGATTTGGATTTTTATGACACGACGTGGCAGTCAACTACGTTGTATCTACGATCGTTCTAAGGACAGGAGAAGTCCATTTGCTGCAGAGGAACCTGTCTCGACGCGCGGGTCCTCCTGTCCGAAGCGGTTCTGTGGTGACATGTTCAAAAACGACACTCAAGCAAAAAGTTATGCACTTCAAACATTTTTCTAGAAGGCAGTGTTTATCTACAGTTGTGCTCCTGTCAGATCATGAAGTAGTGTTACTTAGTTGTGAAAAAAAATGCAAATATTAACTACAGCCTCTCTTTTTATAGAGCAGGTGGTAACAAGACGAAGAGCCACTGAATTGATGTTCTAGTACTTCTAATATTATGAAGGTCGTGACATAAAAGACGAGAGGACGGGGTATAAGCTTGTCCCAGCCGCGGCACGGGAAGGATGGGGAGTCGTGGCGCCTAGAGGATCTCCAAGTGCTGCAACTGTGAGTGGGCGCAAAGATATCTTCATTAAGGCACACTCTTTCTTCTAGAGGCGCCTAATGAGAGATTGGAGGCTGATCAATATTTTTATTTCTTCAGCCTACTCAATCTCAATCAAAGGTATAACTTAGGGTATACTTCTGCTTAGTAAGTGTTCAAAGATTCGTTTTTAGCGTAGCAGTTTAGGGTACAGCAATTATCATTGCAATTATCGATTCTAAGGAGCAAACTCCCGGAGGGCGAGAACCTGCACAAGTCGAAAAATCATCTCTCCACTGCAAGACGGCAGCACGCGAGATGATGTTAGCACCGGGCCATCATGGAGGATTTGCAGACTCGTATTGGAGAATCGTGGAAAGTGTTATTTTTTCCGAAGTCGGGCGAGAAATGCTGCAACCGGTTGCTGTTGATGCATGTCGAGATAGTCCGCGTCGCGGTCTCACTGCTGCAACCTGCGCACACCTGTTGCAGGTAGGGGATGATAATCCCATCATGCATGCAGGTGCTGCAGTAGCAGTGTCGGCGACTGGAGATGTGGTTGAGCAACAGGTCGCTACAAGAAAGACTGTTATGATCATCGTCGTAGTGGCATATAGGTCCGTAGTTTTAGACAAATCATTTACATTTAAGTACATTTTTATCAAGAATTCTTCACTGTGATATTGATAGACATATTTATTAGTAGTAGTAGTAGTAGTAGTAGTGGTAGTTCCACTCCTCCTCATCCCTCTCATTGAGGGTTTTGTTAAATTGTTAAGAATCTTTGATCGTGACGGGGACGTCTTCGTGCTGTTCAACCAAGTCATTGCTACCTAAGTCTTTTCTACGTAAGTCCTTTCCATTTTCCTCATCTACAACTTCTAAAATCTCCCGAGTGTCTGGCGATTTCTTGAGGCTTCTAGGAAGCAGTCTAGTGTTGCTACATCGCGGGCAGATGTCACGGCGAGCCACATTGTTGCATTGCCTCAGCCCTAAGGTTGGAAATTTCCTTACAACAGTCTCGGTCCTCCTGGATGAAAAAAGCCTTATGATGAAGATCGTTTTATCTAGTGTATTACTGTCTTATGCTTTTAGAATTTTTATCCTACTACTAGGTAGTGGACCTCCTTGATCATGTCGAGAAAAAGATGAAAACTTTTTAGGAGGCGGTTACAAGATCAAGATACTAGGAGTCGTATTAACACAAGAAAGAGATGCGAGATGGCTTCGAGACTCTACTCACGGACTGTGTAAAAGAAGTTACAGCGTGGCTTCTCCTTCTAATAACAAGACAAGCGAACAACACGAAGAAAGAGGTCGCGCAACTCTGGTGACGCTCTTCAACAATTAAGGCTCTGAAGAACAACTTCATCTATTCTTCTGCTCATTCTTTTCAGTCAGCATTCAAACTAGCCCTAACATGAGACTGGTTCCCTTTTCCCTTGAAGAAGAGGTCATAAGGTTTAGTTGCATAGCCCATCCTCATCATGATACTCTTGACATCAACATTCTGATCGTCGTCAGTCTCAGTTTTCAGAACCTTTGAGCTTTCCCCTGATCTTCCGTGTCGTGTGAGAACCTCACGGTCAGCCTCACTCATCCTCTAAGAATAGGTACTGTCACTCACTTTCTACGAATAGGTACAACTCACCCTCTTGCTTCTAAGAATAGGTACTGTCGACGCGTTCAGTCCAGTGTGGGCCGTTGTGTGGCTCGTGCACCAGTGGGATGCCGAAATGATCTCACAAAAAAAAGTCCTAGAGATACGAGGAAGCTCATAGAGATTTTAATGCATGGTTGTCATGCAACTTATTCGAAAACTTAAAATAAGTGAGTAACAAACAGCAAAAAAACCGAGTATCTGTGATGAAGTTATCCTCTAGGCTACTCGGTTATTTCAGTTTATCGAATATATCTTGTTCTTGAATGATCATGGTGCTGGTATCTCTCGCAGCACTAGTTGTAGTTCTTCTACCAAAATGTAAGGTTTTGCGATAAATCATGAATATGTACTTAGGTCTTAGGGTTTCGACATTGCATTCTTCACGACCATCCTTCGCTCGTTTTCCAGTAGGAAAAGGGTCAAGGATGTCCTGAAGAATGTAATTCCGTAACCTCCAGACTTAGGTTTGATAGACCAAGATCCAGATTTCGTTGAGCTTGAACAACATGATCATTTTTGCTATAATCAGTCATCAAAATCTTCAACATTACTTCGTTCTCATAGATGAGCCCACTCCTATCCCATCCTATAATCACTTCTATGCTTTTCTGCAACAACTAGCTCGAAGTTCTTATAGACTCACTCAAGAAGTTAAATTAACTAGCTAACTTGACTTATGCACCTACGAAGATTGCGACAACTTCACCATTCTTCATATTTTTCAACATGTGATGCAGCCTCGTCCTGATGTTACAACTAGTAGTACAATGGTAGCACACGACATCAAATAGAATGAAGTTCCCGCTTTTCCTAAACCAGACCTACTTGTCCGTAATCCTACGATCCACACGTATAAGTTAAGGCTTCGGGGAATACATCTTCAGACACATACTGAATTCGTTTGCTAACGAATATTTACACACCTATTCTAACAAATAATCACTCTGCCAAGAACGTAACGATAATTCCAATCATCAAGAATGTTGCATGTTATTACTTTTCTCAACAACAACAGGTGTTGGTCAATGGTCATTACTGGCTCAAGATCCAATGGATGAACCTGATTTCAATGTCAAATGACTGCTCTCACTCGTCACCTTGATCATGATCAATGCCGTTCCTTGTCTTGAACTCATGTTAGTTCCTCGTATGATCATCGTTTGAACTCAATGAAGTCCAACATGAATTAGCAGCAAGATCTCCCAGATCTTTAACTGCACTATGACCCTTCATGATATCCCAATGACATTGAACCCATTTTGATACCATTTCAGGGCCTTAAACAGTCAGTGATCATTCGGCACGTCCGTTCTGATCGTCTTTCTGTTACATTGCAACGATAATCATTCCATTTACTCTCAAGAGCCTCATATAGCGCTTGGACGTGTTCGGGTGTTCCAACACTGTTTCAAGCCCTTGAGCCTTACCTTATTAAAGAAATTGCTAGTCAATACTTTGTAGAAGTAGAGAAAACAAAGTCGCACTATTTGCGCCACAAAATGCCTGATATGAGTCTCGGAGAGATTTCACCCAAACTGGGGCAGAAATCTGACTGGCGTGACTGGCTTCGAGCGGTAACGCAAGAAGCAGACCGCCTGGACCTAGTCCAATACCTCAGCAACGTGTTGAACGGCAATGCGGCAGGGGTTCCGAATCAACCCAACAACAACGACCGCAAGCTCCAGCAGAATTGGCGAGATTTGAAGAACGTGATCATCAAGTCGCTCAAAGGTGCAGCCGAAGCACATATGAAGGATCAGGATACCACTGTAATGAACGCTGGTGAAGTGGTAACGGACCTCCGTGACGCTGGTTTCAGTCAAAATGACCGCACAGAGCAACGAATCTCTGCTAAAGCGTTGGAAGGGATGCATTTCACGAACCGTGATTCTCCTCCAGACGTTCCAACATTCCTGGCGAAGGTTAGAGATGTCATGAACCAATCTCCGACCGTATATCCACCGGAAGTTGGTGTGGCTGTTGCTGATCAACAAAACGGAGCAATCCTCGACATTCTGCCTAAAATGTTTTCCAAAGCATTTCGACAGACAATCGAGAGGATGCAAGAAGAAGAACGTCTAACGTTCGTCCAAATCGGTGACAGACTCACAAAACGACTTCAAAGTTTGATTGACTCTGGTGAGTACAAGATCGAGAGTCCATCTTTCGGCAAAGCTTTTCCAGCTGTCGAAGATTCAGATGATGAAAACCAGAACAATACCAAAACCAAGAAGCGTAAACGTCAAGATGAGAGTGATGACGATGGTAACGCGTTTGCCGCTCTCAAGAAAACAACGATCAAACGACTTCGCAAGAAGATTCGCAAAGAAATCAAGAACGAGGTCTACGCAACAAAAGGAAGTGGAAAGAGTAGTAGTAGTAGTTCTAGTAGTAAGAAGAACAAAGGAAATGGCAAAGGTAAAGGTGCTAAGAACTCAAATCCTAATGAGGGAATCCAGTGCAACTATTGTCACAAATATGGACATAAGGCGCACAAATGCTGGCTAAACCCGATGAGTCAAAGCTACCAACCTAACAAAGCCATGGGCAGCAACTTCTTCAACAATTCATACAACTGTTGGCCGCAAGGTAACACTATCCCTCCGTGGCACCAGAACAACTATCCACCGCAACAAAGTGGAGGAAAAGGATTCGACAACGGTAACCCACAGCAGCAATGGGGTGGACAACAACCACAACGCTGAGTCGAAACCAATCCGGAATGGAATGGATATGGGAGACGAGATGGACAGTCCCAAGATGAAGAAGAATTGGAAGAAGATTTCCAAAATGAGGATGGAAAATGTTCGCTGAACTTGGAAGAAAACTTTGAGAATAAAGAATATAGAAGTGAACTGCTTAGGGATGAAAGCTATATGATTGACAATCACTCAGGTTGCTATCTTAGTGCAAATCAAAGCAAAACAGTTTCACTTGTTGACAGTTGTGCAAATAAGTATTTGTCTAGCCATCGTTCCGATTTCAAGAAAATTAGCCACCGGCTTTGTCATATTAGTGGCACTGCTGGAAAGCGAAGTGGGAACCTAGGTAGACTAAAAGAAAACAAACTAGGATTAAAATATGGCGTACACTTTGAACACTTACCAAAAGCCATAGATCGCATTATACCGTGGTTAGGTGAAGGAAACTGTCATGAAAAGGGTTGGCAAATGAATTTCACAGAAAGTGGCGGAACGTTGTACAATACTCGCTCCGGCCGCTCTCTACCCATAACAAATTGCCCCCAGATGCAGTTACCTATTCTAGGCTGTGACATGTTTAGCAAAGAAGAAAATGAAACTGAGGAGGATATAGTATGCACTAGTATAGAAGAAGCTAGACTTCATTCACAAGCTTCAAGATTAGACATACATCGTAGACTTGGTCACTTTCACGTTGATGGCCTTAGTGTATCTTGTCCAGAATGTGATCGAACCAAAGGTCAAAGACGCTCTCATGCAAAAGTGAGACCCCCTGGACATATACCTTCTCCATTGAAAACACTTGCAATTGATTTCGCAGTTGGTATTAGACCAGTATCTATAAGAAGCAAAAGATGTGCTTTAGTCATTATTTGTGATTCGATTAAAATGTGTTTCGTTCGTCCTCTTTGCCTCAAGTCGGACTGCGTAGAGGTGATTGAAGAAGTAATAAAAGGCATTCGCCAGGACTACTCATTGTCACTCGACGACAAGGTGGTGTGGTTCATCCGTAGAGATAACGAACCCGTCCTAAGTAGTGACCATATGACCAAAGTCATGCAATCGCTACTGGTTTCGGAAATTCCTGGAGTTCCTTACAACCCAGAAATGAACGGAACTTGCGAACGTTTCATGCGGACCATTTTCGGTGCTGTACGTACCATGTTGGTCAAAGTCGACCGACGTCTTTGGTGTTACTGCTTACAGTATGCCGGAGATTGTTGGAATCGCTTACCGCATCGTTATGCAAAAATGCCAGAACGTGATGGAATGAGTCCTGTCGAGATACTAGAAAAGAGGATAGGAAAGAAGTCCTCGAAAAGTGGTCTAGGTATGTTAAGAAGATTTGGTTGCTTGGTGTACTTTCGTGAACAGGTCGTAGACACCACCAACAAGAAAGAAGCAAAGCTTGCGTCACCTTATCGGCGTGGTGTGTTTCTCGGTCTGTGTCCAGTTTCGTCTGGTTGGCTAGTAGGTACATATCACAACGATGGGAGAACGAAAGCTGGCTTCAAGTGGAGTGAGTATTCCACACTAGACGTAAAATTTCGAGAGTCGATATTAGTCAAGAACATTGATTGGCTATTGCCTACGTCGAAGGGCATTTATGTTGATTATGACCCGCTGGAAAACCTGCAGTCTGGCACGCCGTCGCTGGGTCCCGTCCTGCACAGACATGCGCTGCAACGTATGGCCTGTCAGCCGCGCTTCTCTGGCACGGAGTACAGCTCAGGCGATCCAACCGGCATGGAAATGATACTAGATAACAATGACATTGGTGAGTTTTTCTGTGAATCTTTGGACAAAGAGGAAGATCCAAAGACCGGTGATGATTCCAACTCTGACGCGCAACGCGTTGAGGAGGGGAATATCTCATCGGAGCGTGTGTCGCCTGACTCTAATCCTGAAGCAAGGGATCCGAGGACCTTACCCATTCCACCATCTCAACCAGGCAAAGTTGAGGAGGGGAAGAAAGGCCGAGGAAGACCTAAAGGGAGCAAGGATAAGAATCCAGGACAACGCAAAAGAAGAACAAAAGCCGAGCTAGAAGCATTAAGAAAAGACATGCATAAATTTGCCATGCTAGCAGGCGGGCATGAGCTGGAAGAAGGGGAGACCTTTCTCGAAGCACATGTCATGCTGTCAGTTTCCCAAGCCTTGAAAAGCCCTGACGCCGAGAAATGGCGTGCAGCTATCACCAAGGAGGAAGCTAGACTACTTGCCTTTGAGACTTGGGCGCCAGCTACTGACGAGGAGCTGCGAACCTCTTCTCAGGTAATGCCTATAGCAATCGTTCTCACGGTAAAACGTGATGGAACTTTCAAAGCTCGTGCTTGTGTGCTCGGGAATCTTGATCGTTCGGGGAATATCGACACCTACGCCCCTGTAGTGTCACATGCTGCGAATAGACTTTTACTCGTTTCAGCAGCGACGGACTCTGACTTCGTCATCCCATTCGACCTTGATTCTGCGTTCCTTAATGCTGAACTCGATCGTGACGTCTTCTGCCGTCTTCCACCAGTGTGGGCGGAGAAGCATGGAGCGGATATCGTCAAGCTTAAGAAAGCTCTCTATGGGCTCAAGGACGCTCCACGAGCCTGGTTCAAGAAGTATTGCGTGCTATTGTCCGAACTCGGATGGGAGCCGTGTCCTTCTGCTCCAGGATTGTGGCGGAAAAAGAGCAAAACGCACCCAGGAAAGTATATGAAGATGTCAGTCTATGTTGATGATAACTTAGCTACTGGACCTGACTATCACGAGTTACGGTCTGAGCTCGACCGGATCTTTAGTCGCGCCCCTGGCCGACCTATTGAGATGGCAAAGCGAGTCGATTCTCTTACGGGTTTCGAATGGCTAGAGTTCGACTTTCTTGGTGCGATTGTGCACTATTGTCGGGAAGCACGTTCAGTGAAAATCCTGATGAATGTGTACATAGAGAAGACTATACAGAAGTATAAAATAACATTAGGTAAGCCGGTGTGGTCTCCAAATTTCGACGAGTCTGCTTTGCTTGAGGAGGGGCTTAAGCTAGCAGCCGGGTTTCCATTGCGTGAGATTGTTGGCGCACTGCTTTGGATATCGACAACCGCAAGGCCAGATATTTGCGTCCCTGTGGCGACATTGGCTCGGTATGTCAGTAAGCCCGTTACAGAAAGAATTGCAAAAGCCTGTAGAAAAGTATTAAAGTATCTAGCTACGACAAAAGACCAAGGACTCTATTATTCTCCAGAAAGTGAGGAAGAATTCAACGGAATTTACAAGAAGCTCCTACCAGAAGGAAGAGAGCTACCGTATACTAACTGGTTCTCAGATGCAGGATTCGCAAACTGCATAAAGAGCATGCGCTCGACCAGTGGTTCGATTATGTACTATCGGGGCTTTCCAATCTGTTGGAAACGCAATACACAAACCGTGCGTGCATATTCAACTGCAGAGTCAGAGTATATAGCCGCGTCGGACACTATTGTCATGAGCGAGCTGCATGATTTTACAGATTTCTTCAATCCCTTACCCACTCAATTAGTGGAAACGCGGTTTGGTATATCGCCATCCCTCGATGATGCCATATTGTGGATAGACAACCAGTCTGCAATCTCGACAGCAAAGAGTGAAGACACGAAGCCTAAGAGTAGACACTATGCGTTACGTTATTTACGAGTTAGAGACGCAGCTGAGAAAGTAGTTTTCTGTCCTACTCACCTCATGAAAGCTGATGGACTAACGAAACTTTCATGCTCATCTACTCAACGCAGATTATTATTACATCACATAGAGAATCCAGTCATTAGCCGTAACCATGATGAAGATGATAGTGACTCGGAAACGGAAGATGATGAGTCTGGTTCAAGTTCTGCTTCCGTGGCGGTGCTTACCTATTCTATCTTCTTAGGGTGTTAGGTCGTTGGTCAAGTGGTGACGTCAGTGGATATAGAGAATCGTGATGGTTCTGGGTCAGAGCAGGTAACACCAGACCGTTTGTGACTTTCGTCATTTCCTCACCTAGCGATTGAGGAGGGGTGTTGGTCAATGGTCATTACTGGCTCAAGATCCAACGAACGAACCTGATTTCAATGTCAAATGACTGCTCTCACTCGTCACCTTGATCATGATCAATGCCGTTCCTTGTCTTGAACTCTTGTTAGTTCCTCCTATGATCATCGTTTGAACTCAATGAATTCCAACATGAATTAGCAGCAAGATCTCCCAGATCTTTAACTGCACTATGACCCTTCATGATATCCCAATGACATTGAACCCATTTTGATACCATTTCAGGGCCTTAAACAGTCAGTGATCATTCGGCACGTCCGTTCTGATCGTCTTTCTGTTACATTGCAACGATAATCATTCCATTTACTCTCAAGAGCCTCATATCGCGCTTGGACGTGTTCGGGTGTTCCAACAACAGGAAAGATAGAGAATTATACATCTGTCATATTAGTAGATTCGAATAATTAGAAGAAGGTAGAACAATACAAAAGAACTACGATGCAAGCTTCGTCATATACAGCCACGGCGTGACCCTGGTAAAAACACAAACGCATATTATTTCTCAATTAACAAGTCAAAATAAGACCCCATAGCTTCAAATTTTTCCCAATAGTCGCGCTATTTCAAATTTTCCCATTCCCACTCCGCTGATGATGAAAAATATCCTGACCAAAAGCATCACAGATTTTGCTTCATCTACCAAGTTTGGGAGCAGTAGAGCCTCTTCTTCGATAGATGGAAGCACGAGTTCGAGATGAAGTGAATAATATTTTTCCTCCATGATCACCATCACAAAGCTTCATGTTTGTGTTGCGGTGATTATTCGCTGGAGTTCTGTTGCTGCGCTCCAATTCTAAGGTCAAGCAACTACGAGAGACGAAGAAAAGACCTGAAAGATTGATGCTGTATTGAACAGCAATGATCAACGAGTACGAGAGATAATCTGGATGGAAGGTGGTGTAGAAGAAGCTGTGTTCTATTTGCTGATGTATTGATGAAAAAGTCAAGACGAGTGAGGAGACGGAGAGGGAATTCTGTCGAACAGAAAGTGTCTGTTACTCCTCGTGATCGTTGAGAGTCATCAAAGCTTCGAGGTCCGTGACGAGGGAAGTCGAAATCTCGTAGCCCTGATATCGTAACCCATCGTAACCCTGGTGTTCGTTCTGTAAGTAGGTTCTTGCTGCTCCTTCATTTCGTTCTTCGAGAAGTAGAGTTTGCGTTTTTAACTGAAAGTTGTAGACTGCGGCAATATAGTCATGACGTCGTATTTACTAGACGAGTGGAGTGATGTACATGCTGAGACGAGTTCATCTTTGTAGTTGTCGTCCTCGTGGTTGATAATTCCTCATGGGAACTTCATTCTCATCAACAAATCAAACCCACATCTACTCCTAGTAGAAGAGAAAAAAGGCAAGAGCATCCCTCAACCGTTCGAAGTAGAAGTAGAGTAGGTTTCTTTTCACCAGGATTCACTCACCATCTGGCACCAAGATATAATCCATCTTCTGTGGGAGCAGCGGCAGATCTATCCAAGCACATCTCGAGAAAACAAGCGACAAGCACAGGGAATCTCCCATCAAAGTACTTACTTCTATAATTATTTTGGGATCTACGCTTTGCTTATAATTGATATAGAGTATCCATGGTCTGCCCTTGTGCTTCCTGGTTCAACCTGGTGTGATAACGATTATCGATAGAATCAATGATGTAGTTTAACTTTTTTTATTTCAGACAAACACGGACGCAGCAGTCTCGCGACATGTTATTTCTGACATTCTTACCTCCATCGACAGGTTCTTCGCCAAAGGAAGCTCACACGTGTACCAGGGCCGAGGACTAGCAATAGTGCAGACACTTCCCATATTAGTGAAGACTCTTACACGCAACTCGTCGGACAACATCAGCGCAATATTAAAGGAGAAAAACCTCAAGACATCAAACAACAAGGTACTTCTAATTACGCCGTAACTTTTATGCAGATGAATTTTTGTACTCTCTACGTCTACTTCAAGTTGTAGATAGATTCCATCAGATGAGATCAGCGTGTACTTGTGAGAAAACATATTGAACTCAGCGCTCTTCTTCGACGTAATTCACGATGTGGGTAACTTTTCATGCCTAAAAACGTGTTCCTCGCCAGGTCGTGAGCAAGCACTACGTGAAATAACAAGCGACATTTTAGCAAGCCAGCAATAACGACGAGTAACGACGTGGGCTCTGCACACCGGCGTACGAACAAAGTAGAAAGAAGGCACTTTTTCACTTTATACTAGCCTCCACAAGCTTCGCCCGGCTTCAAGTTAGTTTAGCACTTTTCTGCGGCCTCCCACGGGCTACAGCCGCTAGAGTAGAGACAGCCGGCGGGTGAGCTGATGCACCTTACGAATTGACTACGACAAGAGCCGAGTGGCGGCGGTGGCCGACTCAGATGCGTCGACTCATGTGCAGGGCATTGCGCTGCCTTCGGTTTTTTTTTTGAGATTGCCGGGCGGGTCATGCAAATTCTTAAGAATTTGCAAGACCCCCACGGCAGTCCAACAAAAAGACCAGAAGAGAGCCACCAGACACGCACAAGAATCCGCAAGCCCCAACGCACGCAAGCGCCTCGCGGTGGCGCCAGGCAAGAACGAGGGGCGACCTTGATGGGCCAAACAAGACAAAGCAACGCAGGGCCGCGCTGCTTGGGTCTCTCTACGCGCTTACACCTGGCGGGGCTTCTTTGTTTCGTCGGATGTCTCTCGTCAGAAACAGGCGGGCGCACTTCGCGGGGTCGTGCGGCGTCGCGCTTCGGGCTGTGGCTGAAGCCTCTCGGCTGGCTGACGTCTTTCACCAAGCTGGAGACTAAGGCCCTCCATCAGGCTGATGCTGTTCGTCAGCCCAACGCTCTGCGCCAGGCTGGCGGCGTTCGTCGGGCAGGCCGGCGCCCCTCGGCAGGCGTCTTGGGTCAGGCTGAGGCTTTTCGTCAGGGTCGGGCGACGTCTCTCGTCAGGCTGAAGCGCTTCGCCTGGCTGACATTCCTCGCCGGGCCGAGACTCACGCCTTTGGTCAGGTTGATGGCTTGCTTCAGCTCGGCGCCGTTCGTCAGGCTGATGCACTCGCCAGCCAGGTGAGGCCTCTCTCCAGACCGGCGCAATGCTTCGCCAGGCGTCTGCCTTGCGTCGGAGGGAACAGGCTGAGCGGGGCCTTTCTTCGGGCTGCGGATGTCTTTCCTTCGTAAGATTGGCCCCGTTCTTTCGTCGGACTGACGTGCTTCGCCAGATTGACCGCGTTCGCCGGACTGACGTCCTTCGCGAAAGGTCTTCGCTATCTTCAAGGGCCTCGCGCCACAGGGAGGCCTCGCGTCAGTTTTTCTGGCGGAGGTCGTTCGCCAGATGTCTGCTGTCGCGGGTCTCACTCTTGTCGTGTCGGAGGTCTTGGGCCCAAAGGTCGTCTGTGGTCCACGCACAGGTCGCCGGTGGTCCACAGGTCGCCTGTGGCCCAAAGGTCGTCTTCGGTCCAAAGGTCGGCTTTGGTCCAGAGGTCGTCTGTGGTCCAGAGGTCGTTTTTGGTCCAGCGGTCGTCTTTGGTCCAAAGGTCGCCTTACTTTGGTCCAAAGGTCGCCCTACTTTGGTCCAGAGGTCGCCGCACTTTGGTCCAGAGGTCGCCTGTGGTCCCGCGGTCGTCTTCGGTCCCAAGGTCGTCTTTGGTTTCAAGGTCGTCTTTGGTTCCAGTGTCGTCTTCAGTCCCAAGGTCTCCTGTGGTCCAGAGGTCGCCTGTGGTCCAAAGGTCGCCCCTGGGTCAAAGATCGCCTTTGGGCCAAAGATCGTCTTTGGGTCAAAGATCGCCTGTGCTCCAAAGGTCGTCTTTGGTCCAAAGGTCGCCTTTAGTCCGAAGATCGCCCTTGGTCCAACGGTCGCCCTTCGTCCAAAGCTCGCCTTTGGTCCAAAGATCGGCTTTGGTCCATGTGTCTTTGGTCCAATGTCTTTGCCCTTTCGGTGGGCGGTCTTTCGTTGGCTGTCTCTCTTTGGACTTTTCTCCCCAGCTTGCGCCCCCACCCCCGTCGGCCATTTTTCTGCCTTCTTTTCTGGTGGTCTGCCACGGGGCCGCAACGTAAATCCCAACAAGGAAACGGCCGGAGGCTATCGGGCTTGAGACTGAGGGGAAAGGGCAGGAGACTATGGGCAATAGCTTCGCGATAGAAGCCGACTAATCTCCGGTGCGCTAGGCGGGGAGTTTTATGGCGGCGATCAATGGCGAGATTAACAATATAGATTAATAATATAGATTATGAAGAATTAGGACGCCTTGTCTCAGTTTCCTGTAATGGCCGATCATAGGCTAGGGACATGACTGGAGGGAGTGGAACACGCATAGGATCAGACCTCTTTAGTATTCGATGGATCTCGGTGGAGATCCGTGGGGTATTTCAATTCCTTCCTACTGTCATTTCCATGCAGAGCTTCCAGCTCCGCGAACTGAGAAAGCAGAAATATGATGGCGTCATATTGTGTTCCAAGAAAGGCCAAAGTTCACTTTGGTGCCTCACAAATAACAGTGGTTCGATCCACCGTTCCTCTCACCACTGCATAATCGACGAAGTCGATCCTCATGAGATGTCTCGCGACAGAGAGACTACTCAACCGAACGAGCTCTGCGCTGTCACTCGTCTCGTAATCAACTAAAGACAAATCACTACCTCCGTACGATTTTCTTCAATTAATAATATAGACTAATAATATAGATTAATAATATAGATTAATAATATAGATTAATGTAGGCAAGATCAAGATCAAGATCAGCCATAGGGATTCAGGTGGATCCTTATGGTGATTCGTCACAAACTCGATCAATGTCTTGGCTGATCTTGATCTTGCCTACAATTAATAATATAGATTAATGTTGGTCAATGGTCATTACTGGCTCAAGATCCAATGAATGAACCTGATTTCAATACCAAATGACTGCTCTCACTCGTCACCCTGTTCATGATCAATACCGTTCCTTGTCTTGAACTCTTGTTAGTTCCTCGTATGATCATCATTTGAACTCAATGAATTCCAACATGAATTAGCAGCAAGATCTCCCAGATCTTTAACTGCACTATGACCCTTCATGATATCCCAATGACATTGAACCCATTTTGATACCATTTCAGGGCCTTAAACAGTCAGTGATCATTCGGCACGTCCGTTCTGATCGTCTTTCTGTTACATTGCAACGATAATCATTCCATTTACTCTCAAGAGCCTCATATTGCGCTTGGACGTGTTCGGGTGTTCCAACACTGTTTCAAGCCCTTGAGCCTTACCTTATTAAAGAAATTGCTAGTCAATACTTTGTAGAAGTAGAGAAAACAAAGTCGCATTATTTGCGCCACAAAATGCCCGATATGAGTCTTGGAGAGATTTCACCCAAACTGGGACAGAAATCTGACTGGCGTGACTGGCTTCGAGCGGTAACGCAAGAAGCGGACCGCCTGGACCTAGTCCAATACTTCAACAACGTGCTGAACGGCAATGCGGCAGGGATTCCGAACCAACCCAACAACAACGACCGCAAGCTCCAGCAGAATTGGCGAGATTTGAAGAACGTGATCATCAAGTCGCTCAAAGGTGCAGCCGCAGCACATATGAAGGATCAGGATACCACTGTAATGAACGCTGGTGAAGTGGTAACAAACCTCCGTGACGCTGGTTTCAGTCAAAATGACCGCACAGAGCAGCGAATCTCTGCTAAAGCGTTGGAAGGGATGCATTTCACGAACAGTGATTCTCCTCCAGACGTTCCAACATTCTTGGCGAAGGTTAGAGATGTCATGAACCAATCTCCGACCGTATACCCGCCGGAAGTTGGTGTGGCTGTTGCTGATCAACAAAACGGAGCAATCCTCGACATTCTGCCAAAAATGTTTTCCAAAGCATTTCGACAGACAATCGAGAGGATGCAAGAAGATGAACATCTAACGTTCGTCCAAATCGGTGACAGACTCACGAAACGGCTTCAAAGTTTGATTGACTCTGGTGAGTACAAGATCGAGAATCCATCTTTCGGCAAAGCTTTTCCAGCTGTCGAAGATTCCGATGATGAAAACCAGAACAATAACAAAACCAAGAAGCGTAAACGTCAAGATGAGAGTGATGACGATGGTAACGCGTTTGCCGCTCTCAAGAAAACAACGATCAAACGACTTCGCAAGAAGATTCGCAAAGAAATCAAGAACGAGGTCTACGCAACAAAAGGAAGTGGAAAGAGTAGTAGTAGTAGTTCTAGTAGTAAGAAGAACAAAGGAAATGGCAAAGGTAAAGGTGCTAAGAACTCAAATCCTAATGAGGGCATCCAGTGCAACTATTGTCACAAATATGGACATAAGGCGCACAAATGCTGGCTAAACCCGATGAGTCAAAGCTACCAACCTAACAAAGCCATGGGCAGCAACTTCTTCAACAATTCATACAACTGTTGGCCGCAAGGTAACACTATCCCTCCGTGGCACCAGAACAACTATCCACCGCAACAAAGTGGAGGAAAAGGATTCGACAACGGTAACCCACAGCAGCAATGGGGTGGACAACAACCACAACGCTGAGTCGAAACCAATCCGGAATGGAATGGATATGGGAGACGAGATGGACAGTCCCAAGATGAAGAAGAATTGGAAGAAGATTTCCAAAATGAGGATGGAAAATGTTCGCTGAACTTGGAAGAAAACTTTGAGAATAAAGAATATAGAAGTGAACTGCTTAGGGATGAAAGCTATATGATTGACAATCACTCAGGTTGCTATCTTAGTGCAAATCAAAGCAAAACAGTTTCACTTGTTGACAGTTGTGCAAATAAGTATTTGTCTAGCCATCGTTCCGATTTCAAGAAAATTAGCCACCGGCTTTGTCATATTAGTGGCACTGCTGGAAAGCGAAGTGGGAACCTAGGTAGACTAAAAGAAAACAAACTAGGATTAAAATATGGCGTACACTTTGAACACTTACCAAAAGCCATAGATCGCATTATACCGTGGTTAGGTGAAGGAAACTGTCATGAAAAGGGTTGGCAAATGAATTTCACAGAAAGTGGCGGAACGTTGTACAATACTCGCTCCGGCCGCTCTCTACCCATAACAAATTGCCCCCAGATGCAGTTACCTATTCTAGGCTGTGACATGTTTAGCAAAGAAGAAAATGAAACTGAGGAGGATATAGTATGCACTAGTATAGAAGAAGCTAGACTTCATTCACAAGCTTCAAGATTAGACATACATCGTAGACTTGGTCACTTTCACGTTGATGGCCTTAGTGTATCTTGTCCAGAATGTGATCGAACCAAAGGTCAAAGACGCTCTCATGCAAAAGTGAGACCCCCTGGACATATACCTTCTCCATTGAAAACACTTGCAATTGATTTCGCAGTTGGTATTAGACCAGTATCTATAAGAAGCAAAAGATGTGCTTTAGTCATTATTTGTGATTCGATTAAAATGTGTTTCGTTCGTCCTCTTTGCCTCAAGTCGGACTGCGTAGAGGTGATTGAAGAAGTAATAAAAGGCATTCGCCAGGACTACTCATTGTCACTCGACGACAAGGTGGTGTGGTTCATCCGTAGAGATAACGAACCCGTCCTAAGTAGTGACCATATGACCAAAGTCATGCAATCGCTACTGGTTTCGGAAATTCCTGGAGTTCCTTACAACCCAGAAATGAACGGAACTTGCGAACGTTTCATGCGGACCATTTTCGGTGCTGTACGTACCATGTTGGTCAAAGTCGACCGACGTCTTTGGTGTTACTGCTTACAGTATGCCGGAGATTGTTGGAATCGCTTACCGCATCGTTATGCAAAAATGCCAGAACGTGATGGAATGAGTCCTGTCGAGATACTAGAAAAGAGGATAGGAAAGAAGTCCTCGAAAAGTGGTCTAGGTATGTTAAGAAGATTTGGTTGCTTGGTGTACTTTCGTGAACAGGTCGTAGACACCACCAACAAGAAAGAAGCAAAGCTTGCGTCACCTTATCGGCGTGGTGTGTTTCTCGGTCTGTGTCCAGTTTCGTCTGGTTGGCTAGTAGGTACATATCACAACGATGGGAGAACGAAAGCTGGCTTCAAGTGGAGTGAGTATTCCACACTAGACGTAAAATTTCGAGAGTCGATATTAGTCAAGAACATTGATTGGCTATTGCCTACGTCGAAGGGCATTTATGTTGATTATGACCCGCTGGAAAACCTGCAGTCTGGCACGCCGTCGCTGGGTCCCGTCCTGCACAGACATGCGCTGCAACGTATGGCCTGTCAGCCGCGCTTCTCTGGCACGGAGTACAGCTCAGGCGATCCAACCGGCATGGAAATGATACTAGATAACAATGACATTGGTGAGTTTTTCTGTGAATCTTTGGACAAAGAGGAAGATCCAAAGACCGGTGATGATTCCAACTCTGACGCGCAACGCGTTGAGGAGGGGAATATCTCATCGGAGCGTGTGTCGCCTGACTCTAATCCTGAAGCAAGGGATCCGAGGACCTTACCCATTCCACCATCTCAACCAGGCAAAGTTGAGGAGGGGAAGAAAGGCCGAGGAAGACCTAAAGGGAGCAAGGATAAGAATCCAGGACAACGCAAAAGAAGAACAAAAGCCGAGCTAGAAGCATTAAGAAAAGACATGCATAAATTTGCCATGCTAGCAGGCGGGCATGAGCTGGAAGAAGGGGAGACCTTTCTCGAAGCACATGTCATGCTGTCAGTTTCCCAAGCCTTGAAAAGCCCTGACGCCGAGAAATGGCGTGCAGCTATCACCAAGGAGGAAGCTAGACTACTTGCCTTTGAGACTTGGGCGCCAGCTACTGACGAGGAGCTGCGAACCTCTTCTCAGGTAATGCCTATAGCAATCGTTCTCACGGTAAAACGTGATGGAACTTTCAAAGCTCGTGCTTGTGTGCTCGGGAATCTTGATCGTTCGGGGAATATCGACACCTACGCCCCTGTAGTGTCACATGCTGCGAATAGACTTTTACTCGTTTCAGCAGCGACGGACTCTGACTTCGTCATCCCATTCGACCTTGATTCTGCGTTCCTTAATGCTGAACTCGATCGTGACGTCTTCTGCCGTCTTCCACCAGTGTGGGCGGAGAAGCATGGAGCGGATATCGTCAAGCTTAAGAAAGCTCTCTATGGGCTCAAGGACGCTCCACGAGCCTGGTTCAAGAAGTATTGCGTGCTATTGTCCGAACTCGGATGGGAGCCGTGTCCTTCTGCTCCAGGATTGTGGCGGAAAAAGAGCAAAACGCACCCAGGAAAGTATATGAAGATGTCAGTCTATGTTGATGATAACTTAGCTACTGGACCTGACTATCACGAGTTACGGTCTGAGCTCGACCGGATCTTTAGTCGCGCCCCTGGCCGACCTATTGAGATGGCAAAGCGAGTCGATTCTCTTACGGGTTTCGAATGGCTAGAGTTCGACTTTCTTGGTGCGATTGTGCACTATTGTCGGGAAGCACGTTCAGTGAAAATCCTGATGAATGTGTACATAGAGAAGACTATACAGAAGTATAAAATAACATTAGGTAAGCCGGTGTGGTCTCCAAATTTCGACGAGTCTGCTTTGCTTGAGGAGGGGCTTAAGCTAGCAGCCGGGTTTCCATTGCGTGAGATTGTTGGCGCACTGCTTTGGATATCGACAACCGCAAGGCCAGATATTTGCGTCCCTGTGGCGACATTGGCTCGGTATGTCAGTAAGCCCGTTACAGAAAGAATTGCAAAAGCCTGTAGAAAAGTATTAAAGTATCTAGCTACGACAAAAGACCAAGGACTCTATTATTCTCCAGAAAGTGAGGAAGAATTCAACGGAATTTACAAGAAGCTCCTACCAGAAGGAAGAGAGCTACCGTATACTAACTGGTTCTCAGATGCAGGATTCGCAAACTGCATAAAGAGCATGCGCTCGACCAGTGGTTCGATTATGTACTATCGGGGCTTTCCAATCTGTTGGAAACGCAATACACAAACCGTGCGTGCATATTCAACTGCAGAGTCAGAGTATATAGCCGCGTCGGACACTATTGTCATGAGCGAGCTGCATGATTTTACAGATTTCTTCAATCCCTTACCCACTCAATTAGTGGAAACGCGGTTTGGTATATCGCCATCCCTCGATGATGCCATATTGTGGATAGACAACCAGTCTGCAATCTCGACAGCAAAGAGTGAAGACACGAAGCCTAAGAGTAGACACTATGCGTTACGTTATTTACGAGTTAGAGACGCAGCTGAGAAAGTAGTTTTCTGTCCTACTCACCTCATGAAAGCTGATGGACTAACGAAACTTTCATGCTCATCTACTCAACGCAGATTATTATTACATCACATAGAGAATCCAGTCATTAGCCGTAACCATGATGAAGATGATAGTGACTCGGAAACGGAAGATGATGAGTCTGGTTCAAGTTCTGCTTCCGTGGCGGTGCTTACCTATTCTATCTTCTTAGGGTGTTAGGTCGTTGGTCAAGTGGTGACGTCAGTGGATATAGAGAATCGTGATGGTTCTGGGTCAGAGCAGGTAACACCAGACCGTTTGTGACTTTCGTCATTTCCTCACCTAGCGATTGAGGAGGGGTGTTGGTCAATGGTCATTACTGGCTCAAGATCCAATGAATGAACCTGATTTCAATACCAAATGACTGCTCTCACTCGTCACCCTGTTCATGATCAATACCGTTCCTTGTCTTGAACTCTTGTTAGTTCCTCGTATGATCATCATTTGAACTCAATGAATTCCAACATGAATTAGCAGCAAGATCTCCCAGATCTTTAACTGCACTATGACCCTTCATGATATCCCAATGACATTGAACCCATTTTGATACCATTGCAGGGCCTTAAACAGTCAGTGATCATTCGGCGCGTCCGTTCTGATCGTCTTTCTGTTACATTGCAACGATAGTCATTCCATTTGCTCTCTAGAGCCTCATATTGCGCTTGGACGTGTTCGGGTGTTCCAACAATTAATAATATAGATTAATAATATAGATTAATAATATAGATTAATAATATAGATTAATAATATAGATTAATAATGTAGATTTTTTTTTTGTTATGTTTTTTATCTATCAACTTATAATAATTTGTTTCTTTTATCATGTTCGTTGATGTAGTTCGTATACATCAATGTACCGTATGCCACTTTCCTTGTTATTTTGTTCGGAGAGGTTTCTTGAATGATCGAGTCTTCTTTTTTCTTCGAATGCTCTATCTTGCCTTCATCACCAGGTTCTTCACAGCCAAGAAGATGTCGTCCATTCCGCAGAAAAGCATCCTCGCGCTCGCAGCTTTTTTTAAGGCACGAAAGTGGCCAACTTTTAATACTCCTCATATGCACACTCGTCATATCCATTGTTAGCGATATTTTGGGTCCTGTCATATACGAACCCTCTCCCTCGTGCATCTATCCTTCTAGTAAAAATCATTAGATATTAATGCTCGGGCTATTAATTTTATCTCTCATTCCAATTTTTTACAAGTAATATTACTTTACTTTGACTCTTCCTTCTGTCAGTCTACTAGTAGTTTAATATTAAATATGCTCGTACGTCATCGTCTAGTCTGCATGATAGAAGATGATATGTCATGACCAAGCAGCAGCAAAGTAGCCGTTGCGCTGGTAATACTCTGTGGACGTTTGGTTCTGTGTCTGTCTGTACTCTCTCTCTTTCAACTTCAAGTTGAAGCTTTTATTAGGCTCTGCGAGATCCTTTGTTTGGAGAAATATCGAGTCTTTGGTCTTCCTCGGTTCATCAACTTCATATCATCAGTGGGCTTTTTATTTTTCTTTTTGGTTAGCCTTAGCCAAAAACAAAGCCTCGAGCTAGAGCTCATTGGCTGCGTTGTGATCATGGTGATTGGCAGGGTACATCGGAGACTAAATGGCCACGACATCTAGAAGTATCTTCAGGGCCACACTCGTCATTAGTCATCTTAATCTCCCCTACCCCTTCCTCTAGTTCTAATCTTTCCACTATTGTTGTGGGGCAGGAGCCGGCGCCACAGACTCCGAATCTGCGAGGATCTGCGTCTACCGCCTTCTTGGAGGAGAAAGTAGACCATCAGCAGAAACAGGCAGTAGACCGTAAGCGTCAAAGCACGATGGAGCAGAAGAAAGTAGAAGAAAAAAATCATAAGCACACGGAGAAGAAAGTAGAAGAAGGAGCCATCCAGGCAGCGGGTAAAGCACTGGGTAACGCATTTGCGAGGACGTTTCAACCCCCTCCGCCCCGGAGTAGAAATAATGGGCAAGATCCGACGAAGGAACGGGGCCGGATGGGCACGCCCATGGTCCATTGGGGGGGGGGGAATTGATCGCAAGTAGGGGCCATGCTCTACGCTACCAGCACTTCCACTTGCTTGCATTACATTCATGTCGTAGTTTGAGTGTAACGAAACGTCGTCTAGAGAAGACAAGTTTGACTGGTCGGATCGTTAGACCAAAAATGAGGTGAGATATTTTAAAAGACGGACGATTTCTATATTGCGACGTTTTTCATATATAAGAGTTGGAAAATATATAAGAGCTCCAGCTTTATGCATCCTTATTGTATTAGTTTGAAATGAATCAATCATGACGATTATGCACAGTCGGAAAGCCAGCAGGGACAATAGCAGCATGAGATAAAGAATAAGTCATCATGCGCATGGTCCTCCTGATTGATCGTGAGCAAATTATTGACCTGTAGTACACTCGCTGACCTTGGTATTTTCATAGTTCAATTGAGCGTGTACGTAGTAGACTTGACTTGAGTGAGTTGCTTATATGTTCAACATAGAGCACGATGAATAGAAAGGAATGATACTTCGTAGAAGAGGGAGGTCTGAGCATGTTACTTAATTCTCAACGAAGCAATTGTAAATGATGCTGAATAAAAAACCACTTCAACTAGAACTACTTCTCAATTAATATTAGTATTTATAGGGTTAGCGATGGTTTGTGAAATCCTTAAGGGACTCCCTTAATTGGCTTCCTTAAGGAAAACCGTCCCTAAGGAATTTCTACTACAAAAAGTTACTATAACTTTCCTTAAGAGGAAAGTTTTTCCTTAAGGAAGGCCCTTAAGGGACAACCCGCATAGCCCTTGGCTAATATTAGACCCCTCGTTGAGGGATTTCCAAGGGCTCAAAAGGAACGCAAGAAAGCTAAAGGTATGCAGTTGGCACCTTTTGCCAGCGATCCACAGAATTGGCGCCGACCCCTAGCCAATCGCCCCAACGAACTCCCAACCGCTGCCCTTGTTATATATCGCCCAGCGCCTTCATTTTTTTCAAAAACTTCAGGGAGGCCATTCGAATACAGAGAAAACTAAACGACCCCCCTGAAGCTTTTGGGAAAAAGTTAGCTCGCTCCCCTTCCGCGGCTACCTTCCGCGCACAGCAATCGACCACAGGAGCGCGCGGCAGCCCTTGGAGATGGTTAACCAGCACACCTTTAACCAGCACAAAAGGGGGAGAACTGTACGGGAGAGGGTGACCACTTGAAAGGGCAGAGGCTGGCAAGCGCCATCATATTGATCCATGAGAAGGCCAAGGATGAACATCCCTGCGCTTGAAAGTCGCAGCCGTTGAGGATGTCGATGCCTGTGAGAATGATAGCCGTGGGCCCCCGCATGTCTGAAAGGTGGACCCTGGTGAGCGTCATCGTATCCATGAGAAGGCCAAAGATCTACGCCTTTGCCTGCGTGTCAAAGTCGAAGCCGCTGCGGATGTCGATGTCTGTGAGAATGATAGCCGTAAGCACTTGCATGTCTCAAGGGTGGACCCTGGGGAGCGTCATCATGTCCATGAGAAGGCCAACGATATAGATACATCGCCGCGCTTGAAAATCGAAGCCGCTGAGGATGTCGATGTCTGTGAGAATGATAGCCGTGAGCCCTTGCATGTCTGAAGGGTGGACCCTGGTGGGCGTTATCGTGTCCACTCCACGAGAAGGCCAGAGATATCCATCGCTGGTCTTGAAAATCGAAGCCGTTGAGGATGTCGATGTCTGTGAGAATGATAGCCGTGAGCCCTTGCGTGTCTGAAGGGTGGACCCTGGTGAGCGTCATCACGTCCATGAGAAGGCCAAAGACATCGATCGCCGTGCTTGAAAATCGAAGCCGCTGAGGATGTCGATGGCTGTGAGAGTGATAGCCGTGTGCACTTGCGTGGCTGAAGGGTGGACGTTGGTGAGCATCATCATACGCATGAGAAGGCCACGGGTGTACTTCTCTGGGCTTGAAAATTGAAGCCGTTGAGGATGTCGATGCCTGTGCGACTGATATCAGCCGCGAGCCCTTGCATGTCTGAAGGGTGGACCTTGGTGCGCGTCACAATATCCAAGCAAGTTGGCCAAGGCAGTACGTAGCCATAGCCGTAGCCTCCTCACTAGCCTCGCCACAGTGGGAGCCAGTCCCAGCCTTGGCGAGCAGACTTGGCGACTTTTTTCGTTTGTCTTTCTGTCTCTTAATAATCAATCTGTCTAGTTGTTAACCTATGCCCAGCGCAGCGGGCCCGCCCTTGATGGGCCCGCTTTCTGGGCATGTATTATCTATAATTATCATGCTTGGGAGAGCATTGGTTTTCATTTCAACAGCTACCTGTGTATCATTCCATGATCTTGCGCCGTCTGGCAACCAGAGGAAACGCCTCAGCGCACTCTAGGGACCCAGTGGCCAGGATGTAAAACAACAACGCAGCACTCATCTCGCTTTTTTCTTAGAATGCAAAAATGATAGTAGGGATCCATGCATTATGTTTATTGCAACTACATGTACATGAGTGCAATCTTTCATCTGCCCGTATCTGTGGGTTATCCTGGTCAGGGCGAAGACGGATTTAGTAGTATGTAGTTTTCATAAGTAAGGAGGCGGCTGTACTACCTAGTACTTGTTGTAGAGTTCCATATGCATCACCCTGGTGCTTCAAAATTCCCACTCCGTTGATTTTTTAAAAATATCCTGACGAAAAGCAACACAGCCGTGAGATCGAGATGAGGTGAGAAGCCTCTTTCACCTCCTCCAGTCGAAAGTGTCCATGCAGGTATCCATGTAGAACAAGTGAGAAGTAGGAAGTAGGAGTAAGCAGAAGAGGTCACGAGAGGTAATGATGAACAAGTAAGGAGACAGATGTAACAAGTTCAAGAGCACATGGAGGGATTGTCCTCGTGCTGAAAGTAAAAGATGACTATATCTACAACTCTGGTTGTATCTATGACAATAGGCGTTGCGAATAAATGGATCCATGAAACGAATCAAGACCGTCAGGGTGGCAGGTCAAGAATGTGACGACGTTCAAGAGTCTGGCGCTGTTCAAGAATCTAGTGGCGAAGAGTGTAGTGATGAAGATGAAGATTAAAATTGTAACTGTGCTCCATGTTTCTGGTCGCGAATCGTTCGATGTAATCAAGACAGCAACAAGCTACAACATGAACCAAATCCAAACACCAGCCGCATACTCATTGCTAGGCCTTGAGTCAACACGCATGCAATTTGTGTCTTTCCTTTCATATGAATACCGTGCAGCAATATAGTCAATACATCAATACCGCTGCCAATCCCGCTACTATTGTTCTACCGAAAAACCAAAAGAAAAATATCCATCTTCATCGGTTGCCTCGTGCTGTTTTCCTCTTCTCGTGATCTCTGTTTTCACAATAGGTTTCCATCCTATCCTATCCTATCCTACAATGTCGTCGTCTGCGAGCGTTCCTAAAGGAGATGCTGAGGGGCAGCAGCCTGCCAGCACTCAAGCTCAAGCCGAAGACACGACTGCTGAGGCCACGTCGGCGGACCCGGAGGACCCCCCGGCAAAGAGTTTACGGACTTTGTGTTTTGGTGGTTGCTTCTGTTTGGTTTGACTCTTCTAAGGCTAAGGGGAAAGAGCCTAGCTCATCGGGTGAATTGACACCTAGACCGTGGTAGCCTTACCGCTACAAAGAAGCATACTTCCTCTACAACAACAGCCACAGCGTGAGCAGGAGCCGGCTGTCGACACTAGCAACATCTTGGAACCAGTAGACGCAACGATTGCACAGCGTCATGAAGTGCTCAGAAAAAAGATTAGTGAACTGATCAACTTTCGAGAGGAACGGGCAAAGTCGCAGCATTCATACGAACAATTTCGAGCATCTATAGATTAAGGCTAGTTGTCCATCACTCATCTTGCACTAGTGCACTGGCGCCGTCTCGGGTCTATGCCGGGTCCTCGCCGCATCGTCCGAGAAATGTACGACTTCTTTGCGCCCACCCCATCTGGGGCGCTGGCCCTTTGGCTGAAGACTTTGAAATTGAAAAATAAATTGTAGGGTGTGTAAGTATTTAGTATCCTGAAAAGTACCCGTCCCCGCTGTCATTTCAAGGGAAAATCTACACTGAAAAGTGGCGGTCCCCTCTATGATCATTTTAAGGGGTGGAATTCGAGAGCAGGACGAAAGAAAGCAACAGCTCGAACTCACTCCACCTTCACATATACAAACATATTGAGCCGTAATTCTGTAGACGAAGCAACTCACTCCACCACAAGTACAAACATATTGAGTGGTATAAAAATTCCGTAGACGTTACAAAGCACAACCAACTTACTGCACCACAGAGACAGATACGCTTCTAAAAAGAGGAGCATCGTAATTCCGTAGACATAACGCAGCTGAGGAGGGAAGTAGAGGCAGTAAAAAGCGGCTACCATCCACCAGTTTTGGACGAGGACGGGCGACTTTCCATTAAGGCATTCACAAAGCGTCCATCTACGTCTAGAACTACATGATCTGACGAGCGTTGTCGTGTTTTTGAAATGGCTTTTCTCGGGGGTTCCGTTTCTTTTTGAGGGAAAAGGAAGGCACCGATACTGACTGTCAGAACTAGTCTCTACGGGTGCTACGGGTGCTACGGGCAGCACTATCAGAGACGCGCACATGGCATGCGTGTTGGTTCCTGAAGATGTGTTTCCCGTACTACTTAGTTCCATTTCTAATAGAACGTCCAAGCTAGAGCATGACTATCTGGAGGCTCGCATGACGCAGAAGTACGATTATCTGCGGCAAAAACTGAGTACGGTGAGCAATGTCCAAGACATGGAATTGGAGAAGATTAGGGAACAACTGCAGAATGCTTTTTCAGAGGAGCGACTATCGATTAGGGCTAGTTTTTCACTATCACTATCCCATACCAACCATCCCATGCGTTCGACTTAGTCAAACACCATTTTCCCTAGAGTGTTTGGGTTGTACATCTACATGTATTAAGTCGGATTCTGGACGATGCCGAGCCAAGTGCAAGGGTAACTGACGCAGCCACGGATAGTGACCACGGATAGTGAAAAACTAGCGTTAAATCAAAGATGGTGGACTCACAAGTGGAGATGCAATTACAGAAATTAAGGCAGGTAACCCAGGGTCGTGGTTCACAGGAGTGAAGAAGCCTGACTTCCGCTACTAAGTCACATCTCATGAAGTCAACATCCTATTCCTATTCCTAGGAGAAAGACCTGCCCGTGACTGTATTCTGGAACTGGAAGGGCTACTTCTCATTCGGAAAAGGGGTCTTCTAGAATGCACGGTCTTAAGATCGAGGACAAGCATAAGGGCGAGCTCTAAGGAAAACCATGTGTCTCGTTTTTGGCGACGAACTTCTCAGAGACGATTATAGAGAGCATTTAGAGTATCCACCGTCTACAGATGTTGTTGACGAGAGTGGTACTCAAGACAGGTTCACAGAAATATCCGGCGCTATGGGGCCAGAGTTACAGTTGTCACGGGAAGATGCCGAGGATACAACTTAAGGACTACCGTAAGCATCTTAGACCGTAAGCATCTTAGGCCTACCGTAAGCATCATCTTCTGAAGCATCTTAGACCTGCCCCATATCAGGGGAAAACTATACAAAGGTGCAGGATGAACCCCGCGATGGATTAAGGTTAGCTCTAAGAAACTCTTATCGAAATCGAAAGCACACAGGCACAGGGTGGCGGAAGTAAGTACAGCACGATGGGAGCGATGAATCTCTTCGAGCAAGTAGATGAGCAGGACAGCAAGGGTAGAGAAAACTCGTCCTTCCCATCGAATTCTTCGCCAGCACCTGATGGAGGAAGTGGGGGAGAGATCAGAGATTGGCGTGAGTGGCAGAAAAACTTGCGATCTGTGATTCGTGCCAGTATCACAAGGTCATTTGCAGCTGTGCGTGACCGTGTGGAAAATCAAGTGACCGATCTAGTCGAGAAAAAATTAGACACCTTGCTGTCCTCAAATTTAAGGTCGAGGTACCTTATCTTCTAGGCGACAAACGCAAAGTTGTTGACGCACATCTTCTAGTAGTAAATCTGTTACCACTACAACCTCTACAACGATGTTGAAGGTCGTCCTAGAAGAAGTAGAGTTGTCTCCTCCTGTTGTTCCTCGTTCTCAACAGTAGTTTTTCGTTTCCTGCTAGCTCATCTTCTAATATTCAACAATGGTGCAGCTGAAGCTGGAACACCTGGCTCCCAGGGGCCTAGACCTGGTACAACTAGCAAGGTGGTGGAAGATATTGAGTCTGCTGCTGCCGACGGCGCAGGAGAAAACGCTGGAACTGGAAGTGGTGGAACTGGAACTGAAGTGGACGCCGGTGTAGGTAATGAAGGGAACAAATCCACTGAAGACGCAGGATCAGGTGGTGGAGGTGCTGGGACGGCTGAAAATGGTGGTGGCGGACCCGAAGACAGTGCTGCTGGAGCCGAAGGCCCTGTCGCTCTACATCAAGAGTTTGAGACGAGGTTACAGGCAGAGTATGCCTTCAAAGATGATGAGGGAAATTTGTTAGAGCTGGACGCATTGTTGTATGATGCCACACATTGAGAACAAAGATTTGGCAATGTCGTTCCTAAGCAAGAAGGACAAGGCGGAACGACATTCCCATATCAATCTACATTCTCAATGAGTGGAGGAAGCATTCAGTTGTTGAACGACATCGACGTCACGCTCGCCCGAAAGATTCTAGCTTTGGGGACGCAGGTGCAGACCATGCAAAAATATGGCTCATGATAATTCATCAACATATACAGGAGGTACATGCTGTTCTGTCATCTTCACATCAGAGCAGTCCGTTGTATTTTTTCTTTTTGCCCTCTCTTGGATTCATCTGAGTAATAAACTATGACCGTAGAAGAAGATCAATTTTTCTTGGTCTTCTTGATGGATACATCTTTGGAGCCTTGCTAACAAAGGATGCATTTGGAACAACAGAAGACTTTAGTTCGCCAAGAGGCTTTGCTTGCAAAAACGTTGGCTCGACTGGGTGAAAAGGTGGAAGACGATGGGCAATGGAACATACTGGCAGTGAGACAGGATCAGTTCGAGGACCGTTTGTCCACTGTAGAAGAGGGCCTGATGGAGCACAAGTGATGGAGCAGAAGTAAGCCTTGCCTTGTAGTGTGGTGTTGATTGGATTCTGCATCGTGGTGAAGAACTACATCAAAGGATGAGCAGACATGACTTATTGATGTTCCGTTTGTGGTTACTTCTTCAGCACAATTCGGGTGAACGAAGAAAGAGAATCTTTCGGACGTCGCCTGTTGTAAAGCATGAATGTTCCAGAAGAATCAATAACTCAAGTCCTAGTTGATGTTTCACGTTTTGGTTTTGGAAGGAAAGGCTCGACACCTTGGAGGGCCTCGACTGTTGTTCTTTTGGTGGGATCCTGTAATATTGATGAGCACCCGTTCTGTTGAAGATTCTGTTCGTCACTGTGAAGATCCTTAGAAGTGAAGTGGGGTCCGGGTCGTGTTTCTGGCCGTTGTCGAATGAAAATGATTATGATCGAGAGAAGCCTTTTGATGCAGGTTCGTCTCTACAGCATTAATCCGTACGTGGAATCAATAACATGAACAAGAGATTAGACGTTCTTACACACAAGTTGTAGGAATTTTTCTCAAATAACTCCTCAAACTAGTACTACTACGTCCAACACCTCCTCAGAACTACTACATCAAAGATGTTGGGCCTCTCTCTCTTCGGTCATGGATTCACTTTTCTCGAGATAATAACTTTGCTTTTGGCGGCCAGGGGTACCACGGGTCTAGGCACCAGGAGCAGCGGAAAAGCAGGGCCACGAGATGGCGATGGAGTCCTGATCGAAGCCGCAAGTATTAAGGCTAGACCAGAGCAGACGAATCAATCATCTTTGACTGCGTCCTCTTCTTTGAAGTATCTATTGTTTTCCTTACTAGATACTAACACCTACGGCTTAATAAATGCTTACTCATAGATACATACTGATACTGCAAAAGATGCAGGAGGAGCCCAAGAATGATGAACTATTGAGCGCGCCAATAGAAGCAACTACAAGCAGGAAGGGGCCTCAACAAAGGTGATGACATCTTCCTCGTCAACACCTACGGCAAGAACAAGATCGGATAACTGTTATTCCTGCTGCTCTCCCGCACTCCTTGCTTGCAGCACAGGCCGTCCCCGCAGTATGAGAAGGAACCGCGATCAGGAGCGCCACGTCGATGCTAGAACTACCATCGTGGGTGGCAAGAGTACTACTGCTACGCTTCTGGACGAAGCTCCAAAAGGACACGACGAAAAAGCTTTACGCTTTAATACGCAAGAGACGAGCACGACTCACCTACCTATAATTCCGCGAAGAACAACGAATCTCTTGGGTGCAGCAAGCCAGACAGGGCCATCGCCGGAAACCTCAGCACCACGACTGATACATGAGCATCCTGACGGTTCTCACTCTCAGAGTCAACAACAGAACCACATGAATTACTATTCTCCGCAGCATGGTTTTGGTGGAAGTAGTCACGACACTGTCGCTCCGCCATATCCGGCACGCCCTACACAGGCACATTGCTCCATCTCACAGCCTTCAGCTTATGATAATGGTCATGCATTGCAGTGCAACTACAAGCCTTGCACTCCCTTTGAAATGCGCAGGTATTTGCAGCAACTACGACGCCAGAACTCAGTTGCGGTTCGCCATACACGCGAACGGGAAGCACACCACGAACGAGAATTGTCCAGTATTATGAAAGGACTTTTGTTGTGTTTGTACTTTCTTAAGGTCCCCTTCGTCCCTTGTCAAGTTGATGTAAATTAGTCGCGCCCTATTTTTTTTAAAAATAGCATTCTTGATGACGAACATGATCTGAATCACGTTTACGCGAACGCCAGTTTTTTTGCTGTAGTGATACCCGCCGCAACTGACCACTTGATTTTTTCTTTGATTCCTTCATCTTCGAATTCTTGTTCTTCTTTCTTCTAATGCTCCCCTTGCAAGAATGGAACAAAATGAAGATGAAAGCGCAAATATCGTCCACGATGGATCGCAGAGTAGAACAATACGGCTGATTCGTAATCTTTTCGCCACTCGCGGCAGAGCAAGGCTGATGAACGCTAACTACACTAGTACAGCTGCAGTTGGAGGGCATCCTCAACTTGTTGGTACGACGACCACCTCCTATAATGACCACAGAACAAGAATAGGAGAAACAAGGACCGGACCTAGAGGTGCATGGCAACGGTCAACAACGCTTGTGGCGCGAGCAGGTGGAGTTTCTTCTACGGAAAACCTTCATAAAAGAACTAGGACTACTACTTCAATGGCTTCAGCTTCTTCTCCTTCTTGTTGTACATCGTCGGGTTGTACTACGCCACGAGCGCAACTGCTGCGTAGCAGTTTCGGATCGCCTCAACGTGAGCCACTTGACGACCAGCACAGAAGAAAATGGACGAGAATACTAAACTGTCTCTGCCGGGCACAGGGCAACTAAGAGCTTGAGACATCTCCATTTCTACATCTACTCTTTCTGCATACAAACTAAAAACGGTAGAAATTATAGTACCATAGAGTGCAGTGTTGAAATTTTTGAACATTTGATGAACTTGATGTAGAACAAGATCTTCGTGATCCATGGACGTGAGTGAACAATAATACAGAACAAATAAATCTAGTGTCTGTAGAGTTGTGCGGCTTCAGCTTCTTGTATGTGTAATCGCTTTTATGTCATACAACTTTCTGCTTTATCTACTACCTAGATCTTCTGCTTTCTCTGCTAGATCTAGTCCAGCAGCACACACGTTACTTTGAAATTTTTGATTTTGTTTTGAATAATCAGAGAATATAGAAGAAATAGACAGCAGTTGTGTAAAAACAAAAAGATCACGGTATAACCGTCTTAATCACGAGTGGTCTCTTCGTTGAAATTTTGACAAGGCTGAACATTAACATACTAAAGAAAAATAGAAACCTCTACAGTCTGTGAAAATATTGATGAAATTGTGTATATAGATAGATCTTTTTGTACTTGTTTTACATGAAGAAAATTATAGAGACGGTCTGACCGTGTACTACATGAAAATACTTATAGAGCAGACCGACAAGGAGAACCACCACTTTTTTAATGAGTTGTTTGATTGGAGCAAACTACAACTAACCATTGCAACCCACACTTACCTCACGAAATCATCGATGAATATAACTGGCACTATTTTTTCATCAAACAACAGAACCACGAACAATCTCAGGCTCTTCCTTATCTCCTACTCCAAGTACAGAGCTAGTAGTGATATACTTCAACAGGTCATCTCCTACATATGTCCTTCCACATCCTCTGGAGGATTCAGTAACGCATCTTCCGAACAACAACTTGATGGAGGGTCAAGACTGAATCTCAATGAAAAAGCGTAGAGAGATACAGTACAGGAGTCTGTCAGAGAGAAGACTCTTAGTCTTGAAATGTCCTGTTTGTTACATTTTCAGGGGAGCACTCGAGATGAAAGAGTTAGATAGTCCTAGTATTGAATTTGATGTCCTCTGAATGATTAAAATCGACATTTTTGGAAGACTCATACAACTTCTACTACTACTACTACGCAGTGTAGTACTACTAGTTGTTTTTGGAGTACGAGTACGCGAAGTTCCAATCATGAACAAAATGGCAAGAGGTCGCTCATTCTCGTTTCTGCTCTACAACTGAGGGGCGCTCCTCGTTGTCGCTGCTTCCAGAGGCACCATGCACACCACATCATGCGTGAAGAGTTCTGCCACGAGCATCGCTCCGATTTTTAAGGTGCAGCACATACTCGAAGAGAAGAGCCGACACTTTGGTGCAGGACTAGAGGCGCTGTAAAGCTCTTGTCAAGAAAGCTCACGAAATGGCAAGGAGCGGCGCTGTTGAGCAGCAACTTGTCGTCTCCCTTGCGGAAGAAGTGAGGGACCTCAAGGCAACCGTGAAGAGTCTGGAGGCGCGGTTAGAACATTAAGGCAACCAAGAGAGAGCATCCTCAAGTGTGAGCAAAAGCAATGAAGAGACAGCACTTTGCAAATTTTTTAACGTTTATATCCGCAACATCGTCACTTAACCAATTAAATATTTTCCAAAGGGAAATGGAAGTCAAAGGAAAATGGAGGCCTATAATCGTTAGGTACCTTGTCAAAATAAGGGGGTTGGAAGTTGACATCTCTATGCGCATCTCTGTGGCTTTTTCAAGTACGTAGGAAAGCCATAGAGGATATGCGAGCTAGAGACGCCAACTCGTCTCAACCTCTAAGCAAAGGCAGTGACTGTCCTCGTAGCTCCTCTTCTAAGAACAACAGCAGGAGAAGTTCCAGACTGTCCCGAGTGGGTCGCAATGGACCAATCTTGTGACACGGTTCGAGAAGCATGCGTCACCTCTGCTGGATCGATTGTCGAAAGAAATGGGCGAACGCGTTCTGAAGGACGATTTTACTGCCCTAGAAAAACGAGTAAAATTGTGTGAACGTGACCTGTCACTCAAAGCAGACGCGGATGCAATGAGTAATGTGTCGCAACTCGTAGCTCAGTTCCGAAACGCAATAGGCGGAAAAGCCAGTCAAGATTTAAGGCTGGTGGATTTGCGTAGTATTAACGGCTTTGGTTTAGGTTTTCCTTAATATACTTCTGCTAGAGGATGAAATGATGCATCTTTCTAGCTACTAGCTGCTAGAAGAAAGAGTAGATCATAGCTACTAGTCGCACTTGATGTAGTTTGTGGATGAAGAATCCGTTACTGATTTACTCGACTACGAACCACATCAGCGATTCCAGTGATGAAATTGAGTACTATCTCTTCATCTTCTAAAAACTGCCGTGCAGATGCTCCAGCAAAGTGTAGCCGAACAAAGGGACTCCCTCTTATGATGTTGTTAACCCAAATGTTTATATGTGGACATAAAAATAGTTCTTTTCCCTCATAGCGTAGGTGGACATCAATATCTTAAGTAGCGAAGGTCGACACTCAGTGGTCACTTCTGATGCTGAGCGGAAGAGGCCACCTTCAAAGCTCTCCCCTTTTCCCTTCATTACCCCCTGTTCTCTCAAGTAGGTGAAGATCCAAAACATCGGAGGACATGCTCATCTCTTGTTCGCTACTTCTTCACCTACTAGTTCACTTGATTATTTTTTTAGTTTACGTGAGTCCCAGTCCTATCCAGAAATAGGACGAGAGAGACGCATTCATAGCGCAAAGAGAAGGCAGCGGCGCACCGGGTAGAACAAATCCAGAATGTACTGGACACTCTCGTAGTTATGACTGACAGCACTGTCCTCTTTCTCTTAGATACACAAGTGGGCCTGCTCCGAAGACGAACCAAGAATGATTGACGTCCGCATATTAACATGGATCGACATGAATCTTGTTCGGAGCGACTATCAGAACGAGGGAAATATTCATATCTACTTAAGCAAAACTATTCCTGCTCTCCACCACCACTAATTCGAAGCAGTCGAAAAGTCGCTACGCTAGCGCAGTGGACATGGATTCCGTACTGCAGAGACTTCCTGCCGTGGAGCACGACCTACAGCAAAAGCCTGATCTTGCCGAATTTCGAGACATAGTAATGATAAGATATTGACATTGATGTACTGATATTAACTGTGGTGCGAGATTATTAGATTGTATTGTATCAGAATCAATCCTGATTCATCTTACTCTCGATTCAGTACTTCTTTTTTGGAAAAAAACAAAAATCAGACCTAAATTTTTTTTAGAGGATTTAGACCAGGGAAATGATTGCTCAATTAGTTATGTTGGGAAAGAGAGGACCTGCCTAATCGTCGTGAGAGCCTTGATGTTATGGATTGCTTTCCTGCCACAGCGATTACTGTTTAATATGTCCTGTGTTCCGTTCTTGCCACCCCCTCTAGGCGTCGCGTGTGATGCAGACGGAAACGGCGCTGCTTTCTAAGTACAGTAATGCCGAAGGCCGGAATCTAGCGCAGACTGTGGCCAACCTGGAGGTGGTCGTTGGCACTACTTCCGGTCTGAGTCCGCAGACCATTGCTAGTATTGAGAATCGGTTGGAACAGGCAGAGGCAAGTCTGAACGGCAAGGTAAACGTGGATGAGCTGTTACAGGTGAATAACCGAACAACCGCAGTCGAGCGCTCGCTATTTTGGAAAGCTGGTAGTTACGGGTGGTCGTTCCCAGCACACAATGTGCTGGCTACTCAATGTCATTGCTGCATCCTGCACTATCATTCTACTTGGCTTCTTTTCCGATACCAAAACGAAAGAAGTCAAGCAGGATGATGATGGTCTGACGAACGCAATACAACCAACGTCGCAGCGGCCTCTAAGCTAGTGTCGAAGTGCATAATTTAGCGAAGCGCATGCTTTGTGCGGAGGTTGAAGTTGCGGGTAAAGCGGAGAAGAGTGTGGTTGAGAGTGCGCAAAATCGGCTTGAAATGGTAGAGGAGGAGGTGGCAGCGAAAGCCCGCTCATCGGACTTGGCAACTGTAGGGATGGACAACTAGAGTCGTTGTAGTTTCGTACTTAGTCGTTGTAGGTCGTATTAGTTACTAATACATCAACCTACAACGAACAACTAGAAGCTCTAAAATCTCTGACAGAGCGTTGTGCCTTCTTAGAGCTGCAGCTGCCTGAGAAAGCGAACATGGAGGAAATTGCTGTTCACCGGTCAAGACTCAACATGCTAGAATTGGATCTAGTTGGGAAAGCCAATAAAGGCGACGTAAATGTGGTGCAAGACAATTGCCTCTTGCTCACGGATGCGATTAATTATGCTGGCGTTGTATCATACATAGTTGTAGTTATCTTGTGCTTTAATATTCGTCAGTCACGACAATCTGAAACTTCTGTTTTTAGAAGAGCAGGAGCAGGACATTTAAAGCGGAGGCTTTCCTCCTCGTCAAGACCACTTATTCGCTCCTATCGTCGCCTCGATCTTCGTGATCATGAAGATGATCGAGAACTAGCAGTCTTCATCACTTATCACTTCTACTCCGATCATTACCCTTCCTCTGCCCCTTCTTCCTCCTTTACCTTTCTCCCATCTCCAAAAATTAGGAAATGTTCGGGTGTACTAGATTAGTGTTAGTTATGGACCTAATAAAGATTAACTAATCCACTATCGTCTAGAACAGCTGCATTATCACTTCTACTCTTCTAAGCTAACGACCGGGCGCTGCTGAGCGAAGTATCCGCCTTGCGAGAGCAAATTGATATGAACGCGGAAGGGCTCATTAGCGAGCGGGCAAAGTCAAGAGATGAGAATCTCTTGCTGCATCGCGACTTGTTTCGGTTGCAGAGACAGATCCGAGAAAAGCCAGACTTCGCGAGCCTACCCATTGGACCCAACCTGCTGCGCGATACCAAGAAATTTTCGGGGCTGTGTAAAGGTTAAGATTTATTTAGATATTTGGATTACTTGATTCTTTATCTTTTGGTTTTTTGTTTTCTAGTTAGGTGTGCTCCACCGATGTTATTAAGGCTTGGCGAGATACTAATCCATCTTCTCAGGCTTGCCCTAATTCTAATCCATCCTCTTCTTTCAGGAGTATCTACTACCTTCCACCTCCTGTTGTCCCATGACGATTCGAATCTATTTTTAGCTGGTTGTCCCATGCTAAAAAGGCTTACTCAATACCGAATTGAGCTGGACCAGTGGAGGGCTTGGAGGAGACTGGTCAGGTTTCCTATGGAAAAAGCACAATTTACGGCTTCCCCTGATGGTCCATCTACTTCAGCTAGTGCATCTTGGAAGATATGCTGTTCCTTATAAGGAGAAGGAACCACCAAGATGCACCATGTTGTCCTGAAGAAAATGGAGATCTAAATAATCCTGCACCAACACGAGGCGATCTGTGTGACGGTCTCTACGGCAGTGGAGTGCTCAAGTGTTATCCAGGCAGCTTTGGCACCAGCTCAAGTTCAGGAGGCACGAAAATTATGTCATCTAGGGTCGTGTGTGCCGATGAAATAACCCATGACTAGTTATTTCTGGTAGAACCTACGCAAGAACCTAAAAAAACGATGAAGGTGCTCAACCTACGAGTAAGATCGTTGCATATTCAACTCTGATGTGCTCTCCAAATTATGATCATTGAAAAGCCAAATTATTGTCTGAAAAGTTGCAAATGCTGCAGCGACAGGTTATCAGACGTAAGTTCTTTCTTCCTCTGCTAATGGCAGCTCCTCTTCTGGTAGCGGGCACGAGCACAAGCATCACCATCATCACGGAGACTCTTCACGAGAAGGCGGCGGAGGGTTGTTAGGGGATACGTCGGGGGTCATCAGGGGTGGAGCGAGCAGCAGTTCTCTGGCTTCAGGAAGCAGTATACCTGGGATGCGGGTTGACTGCAAAGTCCAAGTGGTAAAAGTCACTTTTGCTTCAGCGTCAGGGAACATGTTGCACTAGGAACAAGGACGTAGTACTTGTACTTCGACCATTCTTAATCGGTTTTATTGGTTTGCAAGTAATTCGTATATTTTCTGCTTGTTGTAGTTACAGCACAACTACGGCGTGACAGCAGGCGAGAACTGTGGTTACTTCACAAAACAATACATAAGACCAGTAGTACGGCTCTCCTTTGGAGGTTCTGTATTACTGGATGGCCTCAATGGTAGACACTTCTGGCTACATACTCTCGTCAACGACTTTTCTACTTGGTGCGTCGCTCTAATTCGGGCGTGGCGGAGGTTCATCAGGTGGTGGCGGATCGTCTTCCCCGACGAAGAAGGCTAGTGCAGGAGCGCCTTCACAGACCCTAAACTCAACAATGGGGAGCACAAATAAAGGTGGATCAGGTGCTAGTATTAAGGCTTGCTGTAATTCACCTTGTAAGGAACAGGATTTCAAGATGAAAACATGTCCGTTTTGACAGGTTTACCGTTTGAACAGGTTTTCAAGATGAAAACATGTCCAGGACGACTTCCAAGATGAATTTTGGTCCGCGCTAATGCTAACCAGGACTCTGCAGCTTCAGCGATATCTTCTGGAGTAGCGGCTTTGCTGGGCGAACTAGGAGAGCATTTCGTGAACCCGGAAACGAGTGAGGACGATCAGAATAGTTTTGCTTATGGTCAACATTTAGTGTCCGTCTTTCTCAGCATCTCGATGCTCTTTTCCATCAAATACATCAACCTTTCTCTCGTCGTCTTTGGTACCATGCTACAAAGATCCCAGCATCTCAAAGAATAATACAAGGGAGAGCAAATGGGTCGTCGAGATATATAGGACTACTGACCACATGAATTATCAGTAAGTAGAACGTGCCTGCCCATCTAATTTCCCGGCTCAGACCTCAATTGCGTGATCATAGATGTAAAGATCTTAGATGACGCTGGCGGCCAAGGAGGTCTGGCGATTCTCTGCCAGTCCCATCCCTTATTCACCAGCTACAACCGTGGCAGCTTCCGGACTCAGGTGTCCGTTTTCTGCAATGTGCTCGAGCATAGCGGGGACACGGAGTTGTACTTGTTCTTAAGGTGCTGGCGTACCGTTACAGTCGTTGTGTAGCATCAGTATCTCCCTTACTTTCAGTCAGTAAATCGCTTATTTCAGTTTTTCGAGTAGAAGAAACTCCGCAATTGCCTAGAAACGAGGGGATGTAAACGGGATCGGTCTAATGTTTAACGGCCGCGGCGCGGGTGTGCGAGTTAGTGGGCGGGCAAAGAACATGGGGTGGAGGCATTATCACTCTTCTCAGAAAGGGTTTGGAGACAACGAGACGTCTTCTTTTGTCGGAAAAGGAAGGTAATCTTTTTATCTGATAATTGTCAGTCTACTTACTCGTTTAACCACCTGATAGAAGAACACTTCTGTGGAAGCAATTATATGAACATAACCTATTTGTAGAACACTCCTGTGCAGGATGAGGATCCACAATCTGACCACCTCATCCTACACTTTCACAGAATGCGTGTCGCTATTGCTCTACCCTACGTAGGGCACGGGTATCACGGTGGCGTCCCAGTTTGGAGTGGTTTTATTAGCGACTACTACGCACAAGACACAAAAGCACTTACAACTGCGGTCGGTGGGGGATAGTAAACAGATGAATAGAAGTTGTAGCGTAGAAAAGATTCAGGAACCACCGCACTTCTAGAATAATAGTGATTATCCTTCTAAAAATGAGAATTTATATGTAGAAAGAACCACAAGAAGCACAACAAGAGGACTAGAAGTAGACGTAGAGTCAGTGTTTATCCTCGTCTTGATGGTACTAGTAAGCTGTTTTATTTGCACCTCTTACCGGTCAACCAACTTGTTTTGTCTGAAGATTTCACTCAAGTATTGCCCCTATTGTTCAATTATGTTCGTCACACTTGAAAAATGTTTATCATGTTCTAGGTATGACAACTAGGAAGAGGTGTAGCACCTTCCTGTGCGAATGGGTAGAAGACGATTTTGATCATTTTAAGCGGCACAAAACTGCTCAATGAAGGTCGAAAAGAAGAAGAAATCACAGGAAGAGGCAATCTTCCCAAAGCACAGGAGACTTCTCTGATATTATATATAGAAAGTCAAGAACAGGAGAGACGTGCTGTCCTCTGGCAAAGATTAGTGAGCACGCTCAGACAGTGCTCAGACAAGTGCTCTTCCGCTTTTTGTAGAAAACAACTACAAGAAATTACTGTTCTTGTGGTCCGTTCTACTTAGAGCACTACAACTCCTCCCGTATTTCTTGGCGCTCGAAGAACGAAGAAAATGCCGCGTCCACGACTCATTCGCGTCTTCTTGCAATCGGACCCTATGTCGAAAATGCATGCTCCTCTAGCACAGCTAGCTGCTGATTTCAGTGGTGCAGAGTTTGCTTTCGGACTTACACCGAACCTGAAGTTAAGGGAAGAGCTGTCAGTCACAGTCTCCATGATCTATCTTCAGATAATATCACTTATATATAACGTTAACCAGGGACGACAACTCATCTGATTGACACTACCTCTGATAGACTCACTTCTTCTATTTCTACTAGTTAACACCATCATCACTTGTATAAGGTAGTCTTCTACTTCTTCTACCCCTTCCTCTAATCACCGGAGGTGGCGCGACACCAGATTTCTTGCAGAAGTGCGAGGTCATGATCATCTCCCCCTTCACAGGAGGCGGAGACGAAAATCACTTGATCGCGACCGTCGCTGCTCTTCCGAACTTGAATTAAGTCCAAGAGTTTTTAGGTTTTGTTATTGTCGTTCACATTGACCACAAAAAAAAAGCGGATTCTAACCTCCTTGACCTGCTTACCTTTATTTGCATTTTTTCAAGTGAGTTCCACCGCAGAACGCGTCAAGATTGTGCTGCACAAGGAGAAGATCAAAAATCATCTACACCCGGGTTACCACTTTAAATATTCATATTTTTTCAAGTGCGTGGCACGAAATAGTGCAAGGATGTTCTTCTGAAGAATGCAAGCAATGCTCGTCCATCCTGCTTTAACTAAAGTGGGTGCATAGTCTGGCTGCTGGAGTGGATAAATTCGTTGGTACGTTGCGAAGACAGCCTGCCACACAGCATTTGCCGTTGACGAATGCCCGTGGAGCATACAGCTACGCCCTTGGCGAGTACGCTTTATTCGCTATGCTCTACTTATGATCTGTCTTATACGTTGGGCTTTCATATTCATTTTCATTTTAGACAGCTGCTCCGACCAAGTTGGAGAAGTCTTAGATATCAAAAACATCACAGAGATCTAGGTGTCCTGCAGTTACAGTTTGACGATCAATACGAATTTCAACTTCACGTCAAGCGAGCACCACTCTGCTAATCTATTTCAACAAGCAAGCTCGCAGACTGAACGCATTGCAGCAGGCGAAGCAGTGGGATCCATTCTGTATGGACTCACTGCGTGGTAAAACTCTAGGCTTTATTGTTAAGGCTTCTCCTCATCCATCTCGATGTCCTCATGCTGGTCCATCTTCTCCATGTCCAGCAGCAGCACCTGGTTAGGGCTCTTCCATGATAAGGGTGAAACGGCCTCCAGATGAGTGTCATGATGGATCGCGGTGAGCTCCAATATCGCCTTTGGGTCGATTGGAGAGGCATGCTGGCAGTTGGCGAAAACGCTACCATGGAGTCGGGTCCTAGTGCACAGACGGACACGAACCAGGGACGATGAGTTTTCTTATGGCTACTTTGCACTGGCTCTATAGACAGAGAGTCAGAATATCAAGATCTTGGTCCTCTTCGGTTTCAGTCACTCTTATGGCTAGTACGTTGTTTGATTTAGATTGATAAGAAAGATGGCATTGAAGAAGATAATACATGTTAGATTTGTTCTTCTTTTCAGAGGGTACAATCAGGCTGAAAGGGCCTCAACCCCATTTGACAGGATGGAGACTGAGGTAGCATGACATGACATGAGTAACTACATAAGTTCTGTAAGAACTACTTCCTGCAATCTTCATGTGAAAGTATTCTTCATATGAAAGAAGACTTTCCGACGTGGGAAAATCCGAGTACCAACAACAGGGAGAACGCGATGGAGAAGCTCATAGGGTACGCAAGCCGAGAAGACGTCTTTGCGAAGGCAGACGTGGTGATTTGTAGCCTTCCAGGCACAGAGGAAACGCGTCACTACTGCGACATGGCTTCTTTCTCGCTCATGAAGGATGGAGCGGTACTAAGCACTTGTAGTTGGCATTCCTGTTCTTGCTATTCTTGCTTCAACAATTGCTCACGAAAAGTAGAAGTAGAAGGCGAGTCTTCTTGTACTAGTAATTCAGTCTGAAAAACGTCTACATTATTGACAACGATTTTCATCAATTAGATCTTTATCTCTCTGGGACGCGGAAGTTGCGTAGACGAAGAGGCGGTAATAGAACACGCAGGCAGACTTGGTGGTGTAGCATTAGACGTCTTTGAACGCGAGCCACTTCCCCAGAGTAGTCCACTCTTTACGATACTTATAACTTGTACTGGAAGAAACGTGTACTAGAACAAGTAGAAACGAGTAGCAAGTGCTACTAGAACAGTTGTTTTCGAGTTCTTGTCGCTGTGTTGATTGTGCATCTTTACCTAAAACTAGTACATCACTCACACATATGATCGAGGTGGAAGACGACCGCTTGATGTAAGTAGATCTCCTGACCACTGACCCTAGAGAGGATAGACGGAATACATCATAGTGACATTGCTCCAATCAATGGAGTCACCCGAATGTGCTGATGTCTCCACACAATGCTGACCGGATAGCGAGCTACATGAGCGACGGCTGGGATACGTTTCAAGAACGATTTAACGAGTACGCTGCAGGGAAAGCTTTTTCTGATAGCATAGTGGACATGGGAGTGGGATATTAGCGTGTTGAGCTTGGAAGATCATATTAACGGTGGAAGAGTTTCTTAGTGGAGACCGGCATGAGCGTGGCTTAGTGGAGATGGGCATGTTGGGCTTGGCTTAGTGGACATGGGCGTGGGCGTGGGATATTAAGATGCTGAGGCTGACCCAAGACCAGAAAGATAGCAGTAGATCATGAGAGAAGATGAAAGAGAAGTTGTACATCAGACTTTTCACGAAATGGAAAAGCAGACTTTTCCTAATTTTTGAATTTCCAAATTCATTTTACAACTTGAAATCCAAGAATTTTCAGTTTTATTCCATTTTTGTCGAATTCATTTCCTGACGACGCGAAAAACATCTGAGACCTTCACACCTCAAACAATGACTAAGTCAACTTTTACTATCAACTTGGATCATATTGTTCCAACTTCTCTCTTCCACTGCCTTCCACATTCTAGCTAGTATTACGTCTTAGCTTTTACACTCTACTAGCCACTTTTCACGTCTGATAACTTCTAACATTTTCTAATACTCACGACAGCAACATCAAGCGAACAAGGGGTATCTACTCCAGAACACCCAATAAAGCCTTCCAAACCACAACATTTTGAACATTTTCCTAACTACTAGCACTACAGCTCCCTCTTTTTATCTTTTGAACAAGAACTACTGTAGTTGTCCTCCTCATCATCTCCCGTCGTGCATGGCGAAGACAGCACTCCTACCAGGATCATAAATTTCTAGCCGAGTGCGACAAGTAGAGCGTGGGTGGGGGATGTTTTTTCTTTTCGGATGTTTGTACGTAGTTGAGCTAGTGGCGATAGCTGAAGTTCTTGAGTAAGTATCCCTGTTGATAAGGGACTCCTGAAGAAGTATGATTCCCCACGAAATATAGACGATAGCGGAGATGAAGTGGCGAGGGCGGATAAAGTGAGACTGAGTGGAAAAGGGGGGTCTCAAAAGTGACGAAAAGAGAGTGGAGTAAGTAACTTTGTGGAATCAGGAACAGGTGAGTCTAGAATTCGTTTTGTAAAAGCTCCTACATCTTAATGTCTAGTTATTCGGAACAACATGGACGCCCCATGGGTGGTGCTTAGATAAACGTTAAAATCGGGCTCCGAGTCCGTTTCGGGAACAACAGGATGAAGTTGCTGTGTGTACCGCGGCCCGTTGAGAATGGGCCTCGTTTGGGGGTCTGGAGGCGGCACCAAGATGTGACAGCAGGGGGCCTCATCGATCGTACGAGAAATAGATCAGCACTTTTTCGCACGACACGCCGCTACATCAACAACAGCGGTGTCTCAACAGCCTTGTCAACATCTTCGTCTTCATCGAAACGACATCGTCATTTTTCTGCTGCCTCTGCGCTCTCCACCCCCAGTGCTGCACAAGAGGAGCAGGAGCTTTCTTCAAATGCGGCAAAAGGGACCACCGTGGTTAACATGCTGACCAGACAACTGGAACAGTCTTCGTCTGCGAGATCACCAAATACCTACAACTACAGTGAAGTACTAGAGGGCTTGACAGTACAAGAGGAATCGAGTTAAGGCTCATACAAAAACTACTCATTTTATCATAGGAAGAAAAGTCCCTTCTATAAGATGCTAAGGCCTACATCAAGACTACTAGCCATTTCTCCCTGACAGTTGGGAGAATAGATGAATTGGGAGAAAAAATGAATCGTTTTGGGCTCTAATCGAGCATGGAGCCAGTAACGCGATTGCCTGAAGAGTTCCGGATCAAGCCCATGCCATCAGATGGGCGCCTGCCGCTCGAAGTGATTCCTCTGCACCCTCCGATGAGGGTCACCGAGGACATGATGCAAGAAACGGTAAAACAATTATTCAAGAACTTTTCACTTGTACCAGCATAACCACTTGTGCGTGTAGGTGTATCTTTATGTGATTGAGCTTCTCGGTCCTGCATAGAGGTTACCCCTATCCTCATACCGCTGCTTCTTGTGATCATACAACTAGGGATCATACGAAGCAACAACGAGATCATCAACAGATGACCTGCAACTACGACCTGCAACTACTTTTCAATTTCAGCGTGTGCGGCGGTATGAGTTCAAGCTTGCAAAAGACCACGCCGAGGCAAAACGTTTATGATTCCCACCCGTCCTTTTCTACTTCTACTAGAAATTCTACTTCTCAAGAGGGCTGCAAGTTAATTTCACTGTCTCATATCGGCGCCTTCTGTCTTAGAGGAAGTAGACTCATCTCTTCAGTACTAGTTGTAATGATTTACAGAAGTAGAAGCCAGAGAAAGTACTACTTGTAGGAAATGCGACGTACTAAGTACCTCTGAATGGAAACTAGGATCTACTGCTATATTAATGTCTCTCCTGGCTGAGCTATGTTAATGCGATATCTCACTTGCTCTTTCATTCGTTCAAAGGACTCTCTTTCATTCTCTCGGCATATATTTCACTGGTCTGTCATGTTGTGGCGTTGGTGCCTCGTCAAGGCTTTGCGGCGACAGGAACTCTTTTCCGCTGCGGTTCACTACATCACAAACCGTTTAGTACTTCTAGGTCCTCAGGATGATCGAGTACTAGGAAGTGCATCGTCCGCTTCTACGTCCGCATCGCAGGAACAGACAAGCGCGAAAGAAGAAGTTGGAGCCGAGCATGGAAACGAAACGTCGAAGGCCTCTATCGAAGTTTTGTTCTCAGACAGCGAAGCGCGAAATATGCGCCTGCGTGCGGCGATGCCCGTACTCGGATCGCTCCTAGTCAGCATAGAGGAGCGCTTTAACATCGAGCTGCCGTTTTTGCCAAGAATTATATCAACGTCTAATTCGTCATCTATTTCTGGAGATAGAGATAAAAATGACAAGGTTCCAGTCAGTTTGGGAGATATCAACGCAGTACACGCGATTCTAGGCGACAGTCGGGTGCCGCAGGCCGAGCGACATCAATTGGCAGCGGCATTTCATCGGCATCTGGAGGAGGATAAAGGATTGAACTTCGTTTGGCAAAGGATGTTGAAAGCACAGCATGCACAAGCAACGAAGCGCTTAAGGCTAGTTGTTGTTGTACTGCTAAAGCTTAGCTGTATCCTTAAATTCTATCAACATTCTTGATGACTCTTTTACTTCTATTATTTCTACTTGAGAAAGAAGCCAAGGATAGAAGCCTCGTCTGAGGTGCTGTGGATGTTGAAAACGGGCAGGATTTTGAGTTAGCTCTAAAACAAGCAGGATTTGGTAGCCACGCAGAAATGCTCTTAGCCGATAACTGTGGCTGGAAAACGTCACACAACGACAAATTATGACATCTGCGTGCTTTCTTTCTCATTCTGCCCTAAGACTCTTTTTCGGCAGCTTAGTTTAGACCACGAGCACGACCTCTATGAAGACCTTAGAGCCAAGATCAAGATGGAGAAATAGAGCACACTTCAAAGAAGGAGGAGTTCTTGCACACGCTAGCAACTAGATGGGGTCGCTGGTTCTGCAGCGATACAGGACTAGACGGCGCGTCATCTGGTTCTGCCGGAACATCAATTGCAAGAGATGGAAATGACGCGGCGAAAATAGAAAGCAAGGTGGGGGCGGATTCCTCCACGTGGTTTCCACCAAAAGTAGATCAAAATCGCTTGGCCTATGACTTGCCAATGATTACCAACGAGCTCTGCGAAGACAGCCGAGAATGTCAGGAAGCTTTACTGGTAATGGACTCCGATCTCGAGAAACTGATCACCTTTATCGGCGAAGTCGCAGGATGTTCGTTGAAGTTGACGCGGGCAGATCACGAATCTGTCACCTACAAACTCATCTTAAGGCTACCTCTACTGCTCCACAACAAGCGTCCTCTTCCTCTTGGCCTCACGCTTTTTCATGCATCCCCAGCGCCATGTTTTCAATGGGCACGCAAACGCAGCGTCGCTCAATAATAATTGGCCCAGTAGATGACAGCTCTAACAATCGATCCGCCCAGACACATGCCCTACGATCGGCGAGCAGAATACTTCAATTACAACAAGGCCATGTGTAATAAACCGCGAACAATTTGCTTCCACCTTGGAGCCTCGCTTGCGCCGAGCGTAGCAGGAGGGAGCAGAGCGCTGACGACGGTAAGCCACGTCCCTGTAGAGACAGACTTGAACAAGGAGCCCCTGCCTTGGTCCGCGGTGTGGAATGTGAATGCCCCTGAGATCCACCATTTGCGCACAAACACGTACAGCTTTTCTAACTGTAACACAACTTCTCTAACTCTAGCTGCAACACTTGCGAACAAACTCAAACACGTACTTCTTTATTATAAATGGCGCAGGCGCTAGTAGCACAAGTCAACAGAGTAGAGGTACTAAGAATCTTGACCGGTTAATTCTGAAAGTAAAACTTCTTTTGCTCACCTTGTTCAACAGGTATGTTCGAATTCTCTCATTGGCAGACTTACAGGCAATCGTGCATGAGTTGGGCCACTGTTTTCACTTTGGCTTGACGGCACACAAATTTGAAGAACTGAGTGTAATGAGCGAGGACGCCATCGAAGTGCCCTCCTCGGCACTGGAGTACCTTGTCCGCGATCGGCAGTTTTTACAGTGGGTTGTTACAAATACTCAGGTCCCGCATTGGAGGATGGTGCTGGAGGATTTGAAGAAGAAGCGAGTGGAGTTTGTACACAAGTTTGCTACAACCCTTAGAGTTAGACTCCTAGATGAGCATGAGCTAGAACTAGAAGAAGTTGTTTGATCCATTCAAAGATAGATGCTGTCGCTGTCGGACTTATAATTGATCGTTTCCTTGTGGGGCCACCTTCGCATGGTGGACCTGGGCGGAATCTCATGATTGGAGGATGGTGCTGGAGGATTTGAAGAAGAAGCGAGTCGAGTTTGTACTACTTACTTTCATGAGGAAGATCTTGGTCTTTCAATAGGGCGGCCCAGGCAAATGCAACTGACCACAATTCATGATGATTTTGGCCCAGGGAGTGCCTTCGGAAGGTTGTAGCTCACAACTCCATCTCCGTCCTCTCCTTCCATATCCATTTCGCAACAAGACGGAAAACGCCGGGCCATGGTTGGAGCAGACAGCACTGCGCCTGCCGTGCTTGGCCCCGGCGAAGCTTGTCAGGCCGTTCCGTCGACTCGCTGCCATGGCATCAAGGCGGTCGTAGTCTGCCAGGCGCAGAAAGAGGACCCCGCGCGCCTCCGCAGGGCGTAAGCGTCGCCGAGCTCCTGGGACAATTGCGCTGCATCCTCGGGCGGCCATGTCTTAAAAGGGAAGGAAGTTGAGGTCTGGCCCCGTGTGTTTCGTTCATTTCTACGCGTCTTTACTTTTTGAAGCTGTGTGTTGCTGTCGTGTCCGTCTTCCTTGTAGGTCCCGTCCCGCCCTAGGTAGTTGTGCACTTGTTCGTCACCCATTTTAGAGTAGGCAGAGCCTCATCTTCTCCGTTCGTTGCTCTTTCCCAAAAAGCCACCACTTGGGAGATGAGAGCTTCTCAGCTTCATGAATATGACTGTTAAACCATTCTTCTACATACTAGCTACGCTCCTACTCATGTTTGGATCGCTAAAATGACTATTTTCCGCTAGAAGGCAGTGCCGATCATGAAAGCAGGTCCGTCGTATTTGTCGTGAGAAAGTATCAGCATGCTGCGTTTATGATGACCATGGATCCACCGGTTGAATACATGCAAATCAACTCGATTCTTGAACCCCCAACAAAAAAAACCGGAGACCCAATTTTCAGGCTTCAGCCGCACCTGCGCACGAGGTGAGTGTGTCGAGGTGGTTTCGTACGTTGCGGGTAGAGCACTGGGACCTTGCGAGGCACGCCTATCTCTCCACAGTGTTAAGTGGAGAGAATGGACTGCAAGCGCGGGCTGCGGCTGGCGGCTCTTCGTGGGCAGCAGCATCGGAATTTGTGCGCGCCGCCTATATCACGGCACACTGTGGAGGACGAAAGCAGTCAACAAGAACTGCAACGTCAACAACCCAACATGAAGGAGCAGGAGGACATGAAGAATCATCAAGAATAAACAACATCAAAGATGAGGAGCGCCAAAAGATTCCTACCCTAAATTAAGGCTACCGCTGAAGCATCCCCAGCGAGGACATCCTTGGTCTCCTTTTCAAGGGGAAAAGGGGCTCAAGGGTTTAGGGTTTAGGGATGTGACGCGGTAGCTCTAACTAAATGCGACTCAGTCTTCGACTCGAGATGCAAAGGCACCAGCAACACTTCCGTTTCACCCTCTTGGCATACCAGAGATTCGCGCACTTTTTGTGCATGAGTATTCACCGGCATTGTCCTCTCTCGCTTTTCAGATCAATCGATGGTGGCGTGACGATAGAAAGCTTCCCATTATGTGAAACAAGTGCGCTTTCTGTTGTATGATCTGTAGTTCTTGATAGAAGTTGTCAGTTCGAGAAATGTACTAGCTGCTCAACTACATCAAGGAATACAGTCGTAGAACAAGATCAGACGTGCAGTGGATACTGGCTTTTTCTTGTTCATCGCTGAAACGAAGATCATCTTGATGGGCTCCCTCTGCGTATTCTAATTTTGAGACATACCTGCAATCCCTGACTTCCACCGTGAGCGCTGTGGTTTCCTCTCCAGTGGTCTTAGCGGCTTATTGGCTGGACATGCTAGGGAGCTCAGCAGGGCTGCGCTTGTTTTCCGAAAATTGGTATCGCGCTCCGAATTTGATAGCGATGCAAAATTTCGCGCCATACTGCTTTGCAAGGGTGAATGCTGTGCAGATCGCCACGAATGAAGACTATCTCATGACGTTTTACCGCGAGTATTGGACCCACCGGCAGCAAAGCGTACCATCGACTGCGCAGTTGGACGCTTATTGCAAGGTCTTCATGGATCAAGACGCTCAGACTCACTCTTCAGCCACCACTACGAGAAATGTTGTTAACGCGAGTGAACAAGATATTGAAAGTAGTAGGGCGAGTAGTGTACGGCTGGATCAAGCATTTGATGCTGGAGAGGCCGATTGCTTTTCGTTGCTTGAAGAGCGCACAGAGCTTGATACCGATGAACTCACAGGCTTAAACACAAAGGCAGGCTGCAAGGGAGAAGATGGTCAAGATGGAGTGGAGGAGGACGCCAGCCAAGAAACGTCGTGAATGGCCAGCACAACTCTAGAATCTGGGAAGCGAGTTGGAAGTAGGGAAATTTGCACATTCGTATCTCCTGCTTAGCCTTCTGCTAATGAACGCTCCCAAGTACTAGCGCAGGCGATTGGATTAACAACACGTGATTATCAAGAACGAGTAACGAGGAAAATAGTTCCTTCTTGTCAACGAGGATGACGAAAGTAGATACAACAACTTATCAAGAACGAGGACTCGTGGAGACTGCCGATTGACTAAGTAGTGCTTGTGAAAACGAAACGTCAACAAAGATGTTGAGAAATAAGCAAGAATCCAAATTTACTGACTCCCGAGGCCGCCAGCTAGGTGGTTTTGCTGACAGCAGCTACGATTCAGATTCACATTATTCCACGTCGTTTATGCTATGAAGTGAGATTATGTTTTTCTGTCCTGCTTGCGAGTGTAGCTACAAGCGAGTTGTCATGATGTGGCTCTGACTCGGTTCATGTGGCGAAAGTCTTGGAATACCTCATAAGATGTAGTACTGGCTTCCAAGAGCGTCGGTCCTCAACATTCAAGAGCAGTGATATTAGATCGGTGACGCGCTTAAGCAGTTGTACGAGGAGTCGGTGATTGATGAAAAAAAATTCTGTTCATCAAATAATACTGCATCACCCTAGAATCCGATTCATCTTCAAGATGATCAAAACTTCAACTGTTTCTAAGTTCTAACTCGAAAAACTTTTAAGATTCAATTTCCTATTAAGTTGCTCCTCGAAAAAAATTTGTTTTATCTACTTCTACTTCAAATTCAAATTCATTTTCTGGTAGGTAGAAGATTTCTGCAAATGGTTCTTCTGTTATGATAATGATTTGGCAACAACGCTGTGACAAAAATGAGCAATCATGCTGAACGACTTGGGAACAACACGCGGGGACCTAAGTTCGCTGTTGCAGCTGGACCGTTGATCTCTCGCGGAGGCTCGTCATCCTCCTCTACGAGAGATGTGCCTGACGCCAATCAGCTCCTCGATGGATTGTTGTTCGGAGGAGGTCCTCCTCGTCCACCGTCTGCTGAAGATCATGCTGCTGTTCAGCAGGAGAGGCGAAGCAACAGTACAAGACGCAGCACTAGTGGAGGAGTAGGTCCTGTCATCTCTACAAAAATAAGAGAACAAGTAGACACCCCATCGTCCACAGGAAAAGATGTCACGAGGATTGCGCCGGCACGAGCGACACGTGTTGCAGGTACTAGTGGCAGGGCATCATCTTCATCCAGTACTACAACAACTAGACGGAGCACAACAAGGACGACTACTTCTGCTGAAAGTGCTGCCTACAACAAGGACAAGAAAAATGGTGCGTTGTCCGTTCTTGGACTTCTGCCCCCTCAAGTATGGCGTCCAGACGATCGGGAGACGAGACCCTCGGTTTTTCGTCGTGGTGGGTTTGAAACCATACTGGAGGCTGCAGAGGAGACGGACTACTATGGGGGAGGAGGAAGGTCTGGAGGGGGAAAAAATGAATATCATGTTGGTGGATCCTCTCAGAACTACAACGAACTAGATGAAAGAGGCGACGAGATTGATGTGGTTGCGACACGACACAATTCAGAACAAGTAGGAGATGGGAGTGATCAGTCGTTTGGTGTTGACAAGCTACGCTTTCTAAAGCAGAAGGCAGGTTCGAGAAATCCCGATGATTCTACCACATCAATAAAGGATGCAAAGACAAAAAAGGCCGGCGATAGCGAGTCGTCTGTGATTTTGGAGGACAACATACATGATGCTCCGCCTGAGAAAAATGCATCTACTACTTCGCGCAGTATCATTAGGACCACCACCGGAGCCGGACTGGATGGGGATAACAATAAACACGATCAAGTAGACAAGCGAAATCATCAAAATAGCACAACTCGCACATCCACATCAACTGCTAGTCAACAGGATCATAGTCTTCTTCTCGCTGGTGTCGAGGTTAGCGATTGGGCACTCTACGAGGGTCTCGATCGAAATGTTAGTGCACCTCGCAAAAAACTCATTTGCAACTCGCCTCCTGCGCGAAAAAAACAACCCGAAGTCCGCAACCTCCGCAAACATGAGATGAATGGTCAAGATACGAATGATGCATCTTCTTCTTCTGATCAGGTGGAGGATCAGAAGTTCAAGAACAGCGCATCATCGTACTACGTAAAGCGGATGCGGAGCTTGTTGGAAGATCATGCTGATAGAAAAGGTGACCGTGACGCAACAAACTCGTCTGCAAAGACTGAAAAGCCGTACCGAAGTAGAACTGCCCTAGGATTCCTCCTGTGCGATAGACTAGGTGTTGCAGAGGAATTTTACGACGAAGAAACGATAAAGGAAGTGCGAAGAGGAACGATACTAGGTGGACCTCGAGACATCGACTCTGCAGGAGGAGAGTTGTCAAACTTCTATATAATGCTTGGCGGTGGGGGCACCAGATGTAGGAGTGTGCCAGGCTCAGATGAAGATGGGCATGGACCCAGCAATAAAGATGCAGTGGGAAAGCAACATGCTCTTAAAGAACTAGATGAAACTTCAATAAAGGAGGAGCAGAGCAAGAAAAGATCACCGAGGATCGCAGATGATGCCGCTCCATCTTGGAGCACTCGCATCACACATGTTATTCGGCCTAGGAATAGACTGCACACAAGAGCGACCGCGTCTTCCAAGATTATGCAGAGCACCATCAGCACCGAGAATACTTTCAAGGCCGAAAGCGTTTCAAGCACATGCTTTGGCAATAGGACGAGTAGGTTTGGAGATGAGAAAATTGAAACGGCGGGGCTGAAGCCCTCTTCGAGTCGCGTGAAAGAGATGCTGAATAACGACCAGCGAGATCATGTTGAGTCGTCTTCTACTCACCTGCAAGAAGGTGGAAAAGTAGAGGAGCAAAAAGAAGTACTTGACGTCGAGAGCAGCTCGACTTTGAAAGCTACGCGAACGAGAAGTCAGAGGTTCGAAGGAAGACATCAGTCACTTTTACAGGGAGATAGCGTACAGGGAGATAGCGTACAGGGAGATAGCGTAGAGGAGGAAGATGACGGTTGGTCGCCAATATCGAAGACGCACCTGACGTATGCGCCTGACGGTTGTGGTTCGGATGAACTATCAAAATCGGGACTACTTGTAGGCGGAGGTGCGGCGGTTTCTTTCCAGCAGAACCCTGGATCTGGTCCTAGTTCTGGTTCCGATCCTGATGATAGGGGAAACGCCGCAGACACGGAGCAGTTGCAGCGACGTAATTCAGCGAAAAGCAAAGACTCCGACTGCTCTTTTTCTGGTGTCGCTTTAAATCACCTACATGGTGAAGATCTTCCAGTAATATCGGGAGACGACCACAGCCAACAAGACCTAGTAGACTCTGAGTCTAATCTTTCGCTCGGTAGTGTCGAGGATCACGGTGATCAGCTGCTTGGCGATTGTGGCGGAGGAACCGGTGAGTCTGGTAATCATAGCCGCGGAAATGATCATAGAGATCAAGAATATCATTATCAAGAAGATCATGATTTTTGTTATGCAGATGGTGGTCGACGAAGACGCAGCACCCAAGAAGAAGACCATGCTGCCGCAGCCGAGAGTGGTGCCACGAGCAGTGCCGCTACGACAGGCAGCATCTCCGCTCGCGGGAGTAGAGTGCCAGAGATTACACCAACACCTACTAGTAGCCAGGAGGTGGCGCTGAGCACTAGGCCACAACGAGCTGAAGAAGTAGCTGAAAGCTATCTTTCAAGAACGAGCGTAGAAGACGAGCCATCGCGTTCTTTCACGCAGGGAGCCATTCTCGAAGGCGAGCATCACACTGAGAACGCTAGTACCTCAAGCCCAGAGATGAACAGCGCTTCGGAAGTGGTAGTAGCGGAGGAACAGCAACAGCATCGAATAAGAAGAGAGGATCGAGATGCCGGCGAACATCGAGAGCAGTCCTCGAGTCCAGGTATCACCACAGGCGATCACGTTGCTGAAGATCAACATGGTGGTCATCTACTGCCCTCGCCGTCCGAAATTCATAATACTAGGACGACCCTATCTTCTAGTACTACTCCTGCTGCAGCACACGAACTACAAGTACAGCAGGCAGGTCATGAACAACATGGAGAAGACGAGGTGCAAACTAGTACAACTGGCTTTGGCCCTCCTGCACGATCTACGACTACCGAATTCTTTGCGATCGGTAGTGTCAGTGATTCCGCATCTCAGGACGACGTTCTGTCCCAAGGACTGGCAGAATTCGACTTCTTCCCACCTGTAGGCTCTCCTGGCTCCCGACGAGGAGGATCTAGTAGAGCACCTTCAAAGTTCTCCTCGTCTCGAGCTGGCAGCAAGCTGTCGTCTTGCTCCTCACCTCTGGTCAGCAGCTCTAGTCAGCAGATGTTGGGGTCCTCGTCCAGACAAGGATCACGACAGGTGTCAAAGCAATCGAATTTGGCCTTCTCGTCTGTTCTAGTAGAAGACATCGATGGAGGAAGTGAACAGCGAGGAAATGATAATCACTTTGGGGGGGGAGAAATACTTGTTCCAAACGAGGTGAGCTACAACTACAACGAGTTGCAAACCCACCAAATAAACCAGCAACTAAATAACAGGAGACGACGAGTATCAGAAACAGCCTCTTCCCCGGATCAGCTACATTTGTCGACCAGTATAACGACAGACGATTTGGATGTGCTCCAACAGCGAACTATTGAAGACGACTTCCACCAGGATAATGCCTTCACATTGAATGCAAGTAGAGTAGCAGCAGGGCCACGACGAGAGGACTCGCGACCCGAAGGGGAATTTTCTTCCACCAACTATGCTGCTGCTGGCGGTACTGGACAGTCGTTTTCTCTAGCGTCCTTGTTGCGACCAGGTGTACAACAGGATGTTGGACGAGTACAACAAGACGAGAGCAGTAGGTGTTCTACCAAGAACATTATCGCCGCTTCGGTACAGCGCCAGGGCTCTTCTTGTGAAGGTGAACCTGTTCATCCCCATCATCTCCAAGATTCCTCCACATCATCCGGGCAAAACAGCTCCACGTCTTCCGCGAGCTCCTCCGCTGGTGATGAGGGTGCTCTTTTGCTGGACGACGATGAATGGGATGATGTGCCGTCGGTAGTCGAAGTCAGAATAGCGCCAGACGTGGTAGATGTTGATGAGTTAGATGATCGGATAAACGCTCATGAAAAGTCTAGTACTTTTGCTGGCGGGTACGAGGACGAGGCGCGAGGAGAGGCTGATACAGTTGGAGGCGGAGAGTCATCTCATAGGACTAGGAGTGGGACAATTCTAGACAAGAAGGAGAAAGAGGAAAACACAAGTAGCATCATTGAGATTGGCGAGAATCGACTTCTGACGCTTCTGATACCACAGAGTGAAA